ATGTCGCAATAGTTTTGCGGCTCCCAGTTTTTTCCCCTTTGGTCCAAGTGGCTCTTTTTGTCTTAAAGGTTGCAGACCCCTGCCTTAGGCTGAATCAGTTGGCCCCTTTAGCTCAGAACTGTTTACACTGGCAGCAGCTCTCTAGGGTTTCAGACTCAGGTTTCTCCCAGTGCTACCCAGAGAGGCCAAGGATGGAAGCTGAGCCCTTCTGCATGCAAAGCAGACACCCAACCACTGAGCTACAGCATTTGCCCTTTAGGAAAACCATTGAACTGTAGAGGTGGAAGGGATCCTTAGGATCATCTAGTCCAGCCCCCTGCAATGCAGGAATATGCAGCTGTTCCATAAGGTATCAAACCGGCAACTTTGGTGTTATCAGCACCACGCTCTAACCAACCAAGCTACCCAGGCTGAAGAGATGGGAGACGACTCTTTATAAGAGACTCTGGACAGCTGCTGTTAGTGACAGTCAACAGCACTAGGGGACATGAGCCCAGCCAGATGGGCGGAGTATAAATAAATTATTATTATTATTATTAACAAGAGTAAGGCATCTTCATATGTCCATATACACTTCAGTTTAGTGTGTCTACGGGTAGATTTTTAAATCTGCTCACAGGACAGAAATGTCTGTTTACCTCCTTACACTCAATTCTCTGTTTACCCCCATAGGAAGCCTCCCCACCGCCTCTACCTCCCTTGGGGTAAGTGTTAGAAATTAACCAAGCGTCCGGCACGTTTTGCGACTGACACTGGCCCAATTGTAACCACATGGATATATCTGGATGCCATGTTGGCAACAGACATCTCCATCTAGCTGGCCCCTCCAGCTCTCTTAAGCAGATAAGCAGAAGAGCTTCCTTTTATCCTGCCTTTTTCTCCAAGGAGCCGCTCCTCAGTTACCGTAATTCCTCCAATAACCCTGTGAGGTAGTTTAAGAGGCTGTGACTGACCCAAGGTCACCCAGTGAGCTTCATGACTAAGAGGGGATTTGAACCCTGATCTCCCAGTTCTTAAGTCTGACACTAACCACTGCACCACACTGGCTTCCTAGAGTACTTCTGCTATGGGGCAGCTATAAAAATTAAGCAGATGATGAATATGAGGAACGCAAAATGTCTCCCATGACTCATTTAAAAAGTTAAGACAAATTACTACAATCTACACACACACACAGTTAGTAAGTTGACAACAAAACATGATTACCTCCATACCAACAGTTGGAAAACAACATGCTAACTTCCCAAGCAAAAAAATAAATAAATAAAAAATTCTGCATAAGCCTGTAAATCACTATTAAAGTAACTCAAAAACTAATTATACTTTATCACACAACAGTTCTATTTATAGTTTTAAGTTTCCAGTTTATGCAAGAGGGACCTTTGCACTCTTCCTCCAAAGGCAGGGAAGACCAGCCCATCTATAATTGCTTCTTCACCATGATTTTTTTAAACAGTAATACTAAATTTAATTCCAGTTTTATCTACTGTTGTTAAGTCTTTATATACAATGTAATTACATATTCTATATAGAGTATATAATTGTAGGTAACCTATCATTTGTGGTCATAAAGGACCACCTTGTCCTCAGGGGAGGAGAGACGTGACCCACTACGCAGCACTTAGGGTGACGTCCAACTCAAAAAGTCAACCACTGAAGTCATTGTTACTCAAGCCCACTGATTTCATTGTAACCAGTGTTGGTCCTACTCAGAGTAGGCTCACTGAAATGAATGGGCATGACTTCCTTAAAGGTAAAGGGACCCCTGACCATTAGGTCCAGTCGTGGCCGACTCTGGGGTTGCAGTGCTCATCTCGCTTTATTGGCCGAGGGAGCCGGCGTACAGCTTCCGGGTCATGTGGCCAGCATGACTAAACCACTTCTAGCGAAGCAGAGCAGCGCACAGAAACACCGTTTACCTTCCTGCCGAAGCGGTACCTATTTATTTACTTGCACTTTGACGTGCTTTCGAACTGCTAGGTTGGCAGGAGCTGGGATGGAGCAACGTCGTGGGGATTTAAACTGCCGACCTTCTGATCCACAAATCCTAGGCTCTTAGGCCCCTTCATTTTGGTGGGTCTGCTCTTGAGTGCAGTTTAAATGGAAGCAACTCAACGGATCTACTGCCAGGTACGACTATTACTATTATTAATTTATCCCTTTATAGATCACCTTTCACTTACCGTAAGTCTCAAGGACAATGACAGTCATTTAATCAAAACAATAGGTTGAAAAACGGTTTTAAAAATCAAAGATATGTTTGAAAAGGCAGAGACCTCAAAACATTCATGCAGCTGGAAACAGCAACTAACATTTGATAAAATCCATAATGCTAAAATTATTTTTAACAAACGATACCATCATTCACTGGTAATATAATGTACAGTTGATCCATACGTAATAAAGATGTAATAAGGTAAATATAATGCATTAACTGATAAGCACAGTTATAGTTAACTTGCAAAATAAAGCCGTCGTAAATATGATTTACACAACATATCTTTCACTTTGATCTTAGCCACATAATAGGATGGGTTGCACCCAAGTAAGCTCTACCCAAAGCTGAACCTGTAAAACCCCTGAACCTAACTGAGCCAGTGTGGTGTTGTGGTTAAAGTGTTGGGCTGAGACCAGGGTTCAAATCCCCATTAAACCATGCAGCTCCCTGGGTGACCTTGGGCCAGTCCCTGTCTCTCAGCCTAGCCTACCTCACAGGGTCGTTGTGGAGATTACACGGAGAAGGGGGAGAAGAACCACGTTCCCCACCTGGAGCTCCTCGGAGGGGAAGAAGGTGGGACATCAATGCAATAGATGAATTAACAACAGCAGGGCCACTCAGTGCCAAACACGATAATTACAGCAATTAAAGCTCCCAGATTACTCAGTAAGGAAGGAGAGATGGGAGGGTGCGGGGTCCTTTCACTCTCCTTCCCCCCCACCCCCAAACTCCATAGGGTTTTGAAACCCCTTTTCCCCTCCCTCTTCGGCCCCACAGCCAGCCAGGCTCACCTGGGGGGCCCTTCGCCGCCTCCTGCGTCTCCTCACCAGCTTGTTTCTCCTTCTTCCTCCTCCTCCTTCCCCCGCCCTTCGGCGTCCTTGCGTCACTTCCGCAGCGGGGCAAGCGGAGGGCGGCGCCGGGCGTCCGCTCGCCCTGAGCACGTGACGGAGGATTGACAGAGGGGCGGGCGGGGCCGAGGGAGGGACTTCATAGACGCTGTAGAGATATGGAAGTTTCAGAGATGTAGGTAGCCGCTCGCTTCCGGGTCCCCGTGTGGATAGCCCGGCTTAACGCGCGGAAGCACCGCTCGTGTGCACGTGTGCAGTCATGACGAGCACGAGAGCTCTTTTGCCTCTTCGCGAAGCCAATTGTTGGTGCATGTCTCACACATACCCAAAAAGGAGGGAAGAGCGTGAGTGGGAAAAGTTCCCCATTCCTGATACAGAATTATTATTTTTTAAGTAAAGTCAGGGTTTTTTTTGGGGGGGGGATATTTGGGAGCTGTTTTTACAAACACACACAGAGAGAGAAAGATAGAGTGCTGAGAACTCGGGATACTGTAAATTGTTCTGTACACCATCCTATGCACCTATGCAGCTAAAAGGTAGTTTTTGTTTATTATTTTTAAAAGTTTGTACCCCCCTCACCCTGTCTTCTGTTATTATTATTATTATTATTAACCATTAATACCCCACCCATCTGTTTTGGCATGCACAAGGGGTAGGCATCATTGTGTCCTTTCATATGTTGGACTCCAAGCCCCATCAAGCAGTAGTGGTGTAGTGGTTAGTGTCAGGCTAGGACATGGGAGACCTGGGTTCAAATCCCTGCTCAGCTCTATCTCAGCCTAACCTACCTCACAAGGTTGTTGTGAAGATAAAATGGGAAGTGGGGAGAACAATATACTCCACCTTGAGCTCCTTGGAAGCAATGGTGGGATATAAAATGTAAAGTAATTATCATTATACCAGCATTGCCAGTTACCAGGAATGGTGACAGTTAGTGTCTGTCATTTGGAGAACATCATGTTGGCTGGCTGCCAGAACTATTTTAAGAGCTACTGCTTCAAGATCTGATACCTGAGTGTGCTTTTTTCCTCCTCCCTTCCTGTCCCTTTTTCCTCATCTTTCATTGCTTTTTTTTAGGAAAGAGACTAGCTTGCTGTTGTTTTTTCAAGCTATTCTGGCAGAAAATAAAAGTGGTAGGGGGTCTCCTAAAGGGAAGAGCATATTATGAGACCCACCCAGCCCTGCTTTTAGTGTTTGGCAGCCTTAAAAAAAGATAATTGTGAGCGCAGTTAGATAGTGACCATAGTGAGATAATTTATTGCACGTTACTGAGACACAACACATTTCAATACAAAATATGGGCTGTAAAAGGGGAGAGAAGTGAAATAACATACTTAAATGGTTTTATCATTGCAATATCCACTGTTTGAAGACAACAAATAACTCCCACCTTGCAAATCCATTTACATTTCTCATTTTTGCAGAAGGCATTGAAGGTCATAATGCATAGAGACATCTGGGTAAAATATACTCTTAAAGAAATGTTTTAACAGTCATAATGAATTGCTTGCCAAATCTACTAAAGGAGTATGCTCAGAATCCTTTTTTATCTCCCCATAAACGAACATCAGCTTATTTGTACCGGGAGGGCAGGGAGAGAGGGATGAGAACAATTCATAGAACCCCAGACTACTCTAATCACGTGTCTCCCAGGAAATAATTTTCACTGGGTGGCATTCAACTAAGTTTTACTCAGAGTAGACTCACTGAAATGAATGAACATAAGCCATGCTGGATCAGGCCAACGGCCCATCTAGTGCAGCATCCTTTTCTCACAGTGGCCAACCAGATGCCTCTTTTGGTAAGCACGCAAGCAGGATCCGAGCACAAGAGCCCTCTCCCTTCCTGTGGCTTCCAGAACTGGTATTCAGAAGCATTACTGCTTCTGACCATGGAAGCAGAGCATAATCACTGTGGCTTTCAGCCATCGATAGCCCTTTCCTCCATGAATTTATCCAATCCTCTTTTAAAACCATCTAAATTGGTGGTCATCACTGCCTCCTGTGGCGGAAAGTTCCGCAGTTTAATCATGTGCTCTTAATTCAGCCAATAATAGGCCAATCCAATAAAACATCTGGCTGCGATGATCCTGCATGCTCCAATCCCCAAAGAAGCATGCCAGCCATCGCCAAGCTGAGAAAGTTTCCATGCTAACAGTAACTTCTGGCCATGAGATTTGGGGCTGGCTCACTGACACTTCATCAAAGTGCAGGAGAAGTTTCCATCCAGGTATAGTCAACAGCTAAAGCACCCAAAGCAATAAACAGGCACATTTTTAATATCTATATAACCGTTATTTTTGAATTCATTTACGAATGCAACCTATGCGGTCTGAGCAAGCACCAAGGAGTTAAAAAGAAACACCCAACACCTGCCCTTTGGGGTCAGGGGAGTGGAAATAAATTAAATTTCAACACAAACACGTAAAAGAATTAACCAATACAGACACATAAATAAAGCAGGGATTTAACACAGAGAAAGTTCAGACATTTGTAGAGATAATTCACTTCTGAAACCTCAGCATCTCTGAAAAGTACTTTGTCCTTCTGTCCTGAAGGTCGAAACAGCAGCAAAAAGTCACATGCCAGCGGAAGTGGTGTAAAAATAAAGTGCTCCTGTGCACTTCCAACGCCAGGTGGCTACAAAACAGCTATGTCCCCAGGGGTGCAGTTGGAAGATTGTGCAACGGTGTGGCGGTGCCCCCTAGGCAAGTGCAGGCAAGTGAGACCAGCGTGGACCGAAAAAGGCTTGATTGCAGGTTAGAGCCCTTCCAAAAACCTCAATACACACCAACTGGCATATACCTCTACTGGGACCCTGTGTGTCAGCCACAGTAGCATGTGTCCTTCCAGAAGGATTTCTCTTCCTTGAAGCAAGAATCACAGGAGAGACCCCAGTTTGCTGCATAGCTATGAATGGAGGTCAAGTTCTCCTGCCAAGATAAGACTCCAGCACGTTATCAGCAGTGCCACCGTTTCTCGGAACGCAGGGCAACAAGGCCATGGAGAAGATGGCAAAACCAGCCAGCTATCTCTTCCCACGCCCAGTTGGGCTCACCACCATGTGATCTTGAATTCGTAAATGGGGCGCTTGCAGTAGTAGTGGTTGATCAGGTGCTTGTCGCAGACCCCAATGCACTGGTGGTCCACCGTGATGCCCCTGCTGGAGAGGTCCGTCACGATGCAGTGGAGGAGGTCGTACACGTCCGCCACAGCCTCCCAGGGCCCAAAGGACACGTCCACCTCACAGTGGTGCTCAAAAAGCTTGGCCTCACCTTCGCTTCGCTCAAAGCGCAGGGAGTTGAAGAGCGGGCACTCATAGGGCGTGATGGGCATCTCCTCCTTGAAGACGCAGATCTTCAGCTTGGCAAAGCGGGCCTTCCGCTGCATGGCGCGCAGCTTTGCAATCTCCACAATCCGCTCCAGGTGCTCTGAAAAGCAAGGAGGAGAGGTGTGTGAAAAAACAAACATTGAGAAGATGCGTTCCTCAAACGGGTGCCTTCAGATGTTTCAGGCTTCAACCTTCCACAGCCCCAGCCAGCACAACCAAGCTCCTTTCAGACCAAGTACAGTGGTACCTCGGGTTACATACACTTCAGGTTACATATGCTTCAGGTTACACACTCCGCTAACCCAGAAATAGTGCTTCAGGTTAAGAACTTTGCTTCAGGATAAGAATAGAAATCGGGTTCTGGCAGCAGGGGGCCCCATTAGCTAATGTGGTGCTTCGGGTTAAGAACAGTTTCAAGTTAAGAACAAACCTCCGGAACGAATTAACTACTTAACCCGAGGTACCACTGTATTATATGGCTGGGATGCAGGTGGTGCTGTGGGTTAAACCACAGAGCCTAGGACTTGCCGATCAGAAGGTCAGCAGTTCGAATCCCCACGACGGGGTGAGCTCCCGTTGCTCAGTCCCTGCTCCCGTTGCTCGGTCCCTGCTCCTGCACGTCAAAGTGCAAGTAGATAAATAGGTACCGCTCTGGCGGGAAGGTAAACGGCATTTCCATGCACTGCTCTGGTTCACCAGAAGCAGCTTAGTCATGTTGGTCACATGACCCAGAAGCTGTACGCCGGCTCCCTTGGCCAATAAAGCAAGATGAGCGCCACAACCCCAGAGTCGGCCACAACTGGAACTAATGGTCAGCGGTCCCTTTACCTTTATTATATGGCTATGCTGGCTGCAGGTGATGGGAGCTGCAGTCAGGGGCAGACCTTAGAAATATGCCACCCTGTGCCATTTGACACCCTTACAGCACCTGGTGCAACCACACCGCTTGCACTGCCCTAAATCTGCCTCTGTTGCAGTTCAAAACATTGGGAGGGCACTGTTTCAAAAGCACTTCTGGCCTGCTGCAAGACACCCCCACAAGCTTCCTGCCCCCACCCCTTCAATTTACCTTTGTAATATGGCATCAAGCCCAGGAAAGCCTGCCGGACTTTTTCTCCTTTGAGGGGCTGGAGCTCTTCAAGAAGGTCTAGCAAGGGTCCAATGGAATAATATTGGGCTTCCTTGTAAACTGCCCTCACGCGTTCCCTTGGAGGCAAGTCGCCAGACCGCAGGAAATTGAGCACATCCCTAAAAAAATAAAAGGCGGAAGGAACTTGAGTATACATGTTGGTTGATGGCTACCTGTTCCCAAAACACACACTCCATCTCCTTTTCATTACATTGCAGGCAACAGTGTTCAAAACTAGGGCTGTAGCCTTCAATAGACTAATTGGTTAGATCAGCGTTTCCCAAACTGTGGAACTCATACCTCCGGGAATATGCAAAAGGGTTCAAAGGATACAGGGCAGATTTTTTTAATCTTACTTTATCATACTCTAACTTTTATATAACTTTTATATATTGCATTTGCTCCAGACTAGATAATATAATGTTATTAAAGCTACCCCAGAATTATCTTCACCCAAGAAACTCCAACTGGCCCAAGCAACCCAAGCAGATGCTTAGATCCAACATGTTTCAGTGAAGCAGCCATATACCACAGGGGATTCTGGGATGCACATGGTGGAACAAATGCTGCAGGCCTTTGGGGCTAGCCCGGAGAGGGAAATTCTCTCAAGGGGAATCATACTGTCTTCATGTTTGTCAAGATAACACTGCACATGTGTTTCAGAGTTTTCAGCCATTTCTATTTTAAAAGTTGGGATATAGGAACAAAACAAAATGGGGTCTATTTGTAGGGTTGCCATATTTCAAAAAATGAAAATCCAGACACAAAAGTTGTTGAGTTTTTTTAGCAAAAAAAAAAATCCCACCATGAGGCTTTGAGCTATTTTTAAGGAAATTCAGCTAAATCTACACTTCCAACATGGCTTCCCATATGTCTGGATTTTCCCGGACATTTCAGCTATTTCCACCCAGATGCCATTTCCGAGGGCTGAATCCCAGCTATGTCCGGGAAATTCCAGACGCATGGCAGCACTAACTTAAGTAGCTGACTTTGCAAGGTCAGGATATTACACATTTATTCTGAAACAGGAAGGTCAGCATTCCAAGGGCTGAAGAACCTTTTAATATCCTGTTTCCAGAGGCAAAAGCAGCACAGTCACTTTGACTAATCAATCCTATTAGTGACCACATGCAGCACAAACAAAGGGCATATGTTACTTGCCGTCTGACCCTGTCCAGTGCTCAAAGTCAGGGCATGAGACGGAAAATCCGAAGGGTGCCCCACCCCATTCCAACCAACTCTTGAGCTGAAGCTCTTATGCGGTTTCCATTCATGTTATTATTACTGTATTGGCCTGAACATAAGCCTCACTTTTCCCCCAAATTAAGACCATGAAAAGTTAAAGTACGGCTTATATTCGCAACCTTATGGTATGCAGCCAGGAGCATGGGGCAAAGAGCGCCAGGAGTGCAGCAAAGCGGCGCCCTCCCCGCGCGTAGTCCCCAAACCTCTACCCCAAGGCTGGGAAGGGAGAGAGCGAGGAAGGGGAAAGGCTGTTGGCAACTCAACACGGCTCCCCCCCCCCCCCGCTCCCAGTATGCAGCCAGGAGCAGTGAGGAATGGGGCAGCTTATATTCGGGTATTTTTTCTTTTCTTTTCCTCCCTCCAATTTTAAAGGTGCAGCTTATATTTGGGTACGGCTTATATTCGGGCCAATACGGTATTATTAATTGCTTGATTAAACTTATTAGTCACTTTTTTACAAAAGCAACTCAAAAGCGATTCTCAGAAGGAATTAAATAGCATTTACATCAAAACTAGCATTAAACAAAACAGATAAAAAAGACTTAAAGCAAATTTGCATTTTTAAAAGGCAAGATTAAGACATCCCACCCACTCAAGAGAGCCAGTGTAGTGTACTTTTTTTTTAAGAGTGTCAGACTAGGACCAGGAGACCAGGGTTCAAATCTGCACTCAGCCATGAAGTTCATTGGTTGTGTCCTTGGGCCATTAACTGCCTGCCAGCCTAACCTACTTCACAGGGTTGTTGTGGGGGATTAAATGAGGCAGGATGAGAACCACATACATCACCTTGGACTCCTTGGAGAAAAAGGTGGGGTTTGAGTTTAATAAAGTAATAAAGAGGCCGCAGATAATTAAAAGCCAAAAGCCTGACAGAAATGTATTTGCCTGGTGCCTAAAAATATGTAATGATGGCACCAGGCAAGCCGCCCTGTGGACAATATTCCACAAATGTGAATCCAGCACGGAAAAGGCCCATTGCCACACTGCTACCCTCTGGATCTCCCTACCACCCAAAAAAGCACTCAAAATCCACCACTTCCAGTAATACAATATATACCTCCAACCACAGGAATATGTCAGGGAGCCCTGGTCCAGCAGAGTGCAGACATTCTGACCACAAACAGCTCCACCAACATTGTCCTTCAAAACAATTACCCCCAGTTCTTGTAAAGTTAGAACAGACTCCAAAGGTCATCTGCTCCAACCCACTGCAGCAAAGGAATCACAGCGAAAGAATCTCTGGCAGTCATCCAACCTCTGCTTAAAAACCCCAAATGAAGGAGTCCACCACCTTCTGAGAGAGTCCGTTCCACTGTTGCACAGCTCTTCCCATGAGAAGGTTCTTTCTCATGTTTAGTTGGAATCTCCTTTCTTGGAAGTCTAGACCTTGTCAGCTGCTGTTCTTTGGCTGCCTAGAGCAGTTCCCCTCACCCCTATGGGAACATGAGTGCGAAGGTAGAAGGGGCATACAGATCACACTACCTCCAAGGGACAGAGGAACCGCCTTGCTCCTGGAGCTTTTGTAGCTAAGGGAGTGCCGCAGGCAAAGAAGACATACCCAAAGAACTTCCCATCTCGGTCAATAAAGTATCTCCCCTCCGCATCCGTTGGGATGTAGTGTCGGCCACTGAACATAGCCGAGAGCATTGTGTCTTCGTAGCGCCGCAGTGTTGACAACCTGGTAGTGAAATAAGCTCCTCCAACATTCAGTGGAACCACTTCAGGGAACTGGGAGGAAGAAACAATTTGTGTCGAAATTCAGCACATAGGTCGGCATTCAAGTATCATTTCCCATCAGTTGAAAATTTACGCTTGCCCTATAAAACTTCCCAATCTTCCCCATGCCCCACATCCTACCCAAATCTGCCCCCTAGACCAGATTTAGGGGGTATGCAGTTTCTTGTAGTGATGGATCAAGTTAATTCAGGCTGCACTGAATGCAAACAAGCCAGTGTGGAGAAAGTGGATGAACATATTTCTCCCTCTTTTTATACTTTGAATTTTTATTTTATTGCATCTGTATCCTAAATTTTCCTCCAAGAAACTCAAGGTCCCATACATAGTTTTCCTCCTCTCCATTTTATCCTCATAACAACCCTGTGAGGTAGGTTAAACTGAGAGGTAATGACTGCCCCTAAAGTCACCCACTGTGAGAGCTTCATGGCCAAGTGGGGATTTTAACCCTGGTCTCCAAGGTTCTAGTCTGAGACGCTAAGCACTACACCAGGGGTCTGCAACCTTTAAGACAAAAAGAGCCACTTGGACCCGTTTCCGAAGAAAAAAACACCTGGGAGCCGCAAAACCATTGCGACATTTATAGCATGCGCACCGCTGCCCTCCGATCCGACAGCGGGTGGGAAGGTGACGTCGGGACAGTGCGTGACTAACGCACGCACCGCCCCATGCGACGTCACAGCCAGTACAGCACCCACCACAGTGGGGAGTGTCGGGGCACACAATGTGCCTCCTCCCCTCGCTAGTATCCGCCCCGGAGCCGCGGCAAAGGTGTAAAAGAGCCACGTGCGGCTCCGGAGCCGCGGGTTGCAGACCCCTGCACTACACCATGCTGACTCTCAGAATACTAGAACCTGATTGGATAACCTTAGGAAGCTGAAGGGTGAGAGTTTCAGGGCAGGCAAAAGAGAGGACTTTGTCACACGCTGTGGAAATCCCTGCTGCAAGATATGGACAGTGGCCACCAGCTCAGAGGGCTTTAAAAGGGGACTAGAAAAATTTGAGAAGAGGGAAGTGGTCTATATTTTACTTCTTTAAGAGAGTGTATATCTTTCCTTCCTAATTACTAATCTATTTACAAAATAAAATAACATGAGCAAAACAGTAAAATCAGTTAAGAACAATAAAAAAGATGAACGCAGGGCAAATAAAAACAAGGGGACAGCTTGAAACTTTAATTAAAAAAAAACAAAAACAAGGGGGCAGTTTAACTATGTGCTCTGTGAAGAATGGTTTTGTTTTTTACCTGTTTTTAATCTTCCACCCTTCAGTTTCATTGGATGTCCACGAGTTCTAGTGTTATGAGAGAGGCAGAAAAAAAATTCTCTATCCACCTTCCCCATGCCATGCATAATTTTATAAACTTGTGTTTTGCCACCTCTTACTCACCTTTTCTCTAAACTAAAGAGTCCCAAACACTGCACTTTTTCTTCATACTGACACATTGTCAACTGCCTGAAGTCCAGTTGTGGACGACTCTGGGGTTGCAGTGCTCATCTCGTTTTACTGGCCGAGGGAGCCAGCGTTTGTTCGCAGACAGCTTCCGGGTCATGTGGCCAGCATGACTAAGCCGCTTCTGTCGAACCAGAGCAGCACACGGAAACGCCATTTACCTTCCCGCCAGAGCAGTACCTATTTATCTACTTGCACGTTGACGTGCTTTCAAACTGCTAGGTTGGCAGGAGTTGGGACCAAGCAACGGGAGCTCACCCCGTCACAGGGATTTGAACCGCCAACCTTCTGATCGGCAAGCCCAAGGCTCAGTAGTTTAGACCACAGCGCCACTCGCGTCCCTTCAAGGGATAGCCCCACACAAAGCAGCAATCCAGTCTATGACACATGCCTCCAGGTCTGAAATTCCCAGTTGGTGCACCAGTCTCAGATAGGTCAATGTACCTTGGACCATAGCTGCTGTCTAACCATGAAGCACCAAAGCCCGGTGCAGGTTCACTCCCACCCCTATATGGCATTCCCAGGCTCAGGATGTTACTGGGTACCAGTTGCAGGGGAGCAACAGCAAGAGAGAGAGAGCTGTCACCTTGCTGCCCTGTACAAGGTGGGTTTCATGGAGGCGCCTGGTCGGCTACTGCAGAAGACAGGATGCACGGGGCTAGGTGGACCTTTGGACTGATCCTGCAGGGCTCCTCTTAGGCTCATGTCACTGCTCAAAAATGACTCAGCAGCAGATGACTTTGTGTAGAAGGCAGAAGCAGGAGGCAGACTGTGAGGAGAAAAGGAAGGGTGGCACTGGCAGAGTCAGAGAGAGGGCAAGCGATCAGTCGCTCTGGGCTGGCACTTGCACCCAGTTCTGCACATCCATCTCCAAGATCAGCTGGAGCTGCAGACTGTAGGGGTTTTCAACTATTCAAGAGTACTAACAGAACTGCAAGCCACCAAGCAAACACAGCTTAGCAGGAGTCTGTAAATCTCCTATTTTCCCTCAGCTGCAAAAACAGGACATTCATGTGATGTGCCCAGTGGACTGATATCCACTCAACTGATGATTTTGTGCCCAGACTCCTCCTGTCACCCCCTAGTTGGGTGTATAGAACATGCTAATGCCAGGAAACCTAACAAGTCTGAATATTCCTAACTTACACTGAGTTTTCTCAGTCTTGAGGCTGGAAAAATCTTAGCAGCCAGGGTATTAAAAATGCTAGGTATAAACACTTTTAAAAATCAAAGTTGTTTTGAAAGTCATGATTTGTGAACAGCTTCTAGTTTATCCCACCCTTCAAGCTCAGGATGGGTTACAAAAACAAGAAATCATTAATATACATTTTTTTAAAAAGTAAGTCCATTTAGGGCACTGGTTCCGAAACTTTTTTGGGCCACCCCCCTTGGTTCCATACATTCAACCATACCGTACCCCATAAAAAACATTCAGAATAGTGGTTTACACAACCCACTCTGGCAGATAAAAAGAGAATAAAATTCAAAACAGTAACAATTGCACATTTACTCAAAATCCAATTAACACTATTGAGTTTAATCCAATCAACAAAACTGCTGAACTTGAATAGTCATTTACACCTCCAGCATCCCCCTGCCACCCCCCTTGCCTCTTAGTGCCTCCCTAGGTAATCCCACCACTCTACCCAGGGGGTGGTATCACCCACTTAGGGAACCACTGATTCTGGGGCTTGACCCTGCGCCCACCACTACAAGCCAAGCTGAAAGCAGAGTATTGTTTCTGAAAGAAGCTGATCCTCAGTGTCACTCTGGGGAAGCCTCCAGGGAGAGGACCATTCCAGCGGCAGCCCCTGAAAACTGAAGCAACCAGGGTGCAAAAGGCACTAGCTCACTCACCTGCTGAGGCAGGAGGGACAGGGCGTGCTCTGCCTGGGTGGCCGTTGGCGTGGCAGGCTCTTGAGAGTCATCCTCCGCATCCGAACTCGACATGGCATCGCTCACTTTGGTCTGCCCCGTGACTACCACCATCCCTCCGGCTCTTGTAAGCAGGTCTGCTGGGCGGGCAGCCGTGGCAAAGCTGGCAGGGAGACAAGGGCCATGTTCATTGGGATGGGAGACCACAGCAGGGGAGGGGACGCTTTCCTTAATAAAGAAAGGCCACTGAGGGGCAGCAGGTGCCCAGAGATGCTCCACGCCAACCCTTTACGAGTGTCATTGCTATTCTCAGGAGTGAGTCACAACACACAGGACTGTTCTATCTGCTGCCAGTCAGGAGCACACGCGCACGCGGGGAGGGGATCCAATTTGCACAGCAGCGCCAGGAAACCTCCCTGTCAGCTTTCGCAGCCAGAGACTCCCTCACTGGAGGAGACAGCCGCTCTTATTGGCCGCCTAACCAGCTCAACCTGCTCTCAGCTGCCCAGGCTGTCATTTTACTTGCTCAAATCTGATTAGCTGCTGGGGACACCTGCTGCTGAGCAGCCATTTGGCAATCCACACAGCTGTCAACCAAAGGCGCTGTCTGACTGGTTCAGCATGCGCTTGGCCACGCCCCACTAGCCTGTGGTTCCCCAACACCACACTGCCCCTCCAAGCCCCTTTTGAAATGGACAAAGGAAAGCATTCCTTGCCCGATCCACACAGTTCCACCAACATTATTAATAGTGGGGAAACTGGGGTGGGGTGGGGAGGTTTTGGCAGCAGCATAGACATTCAGAATCAAGTTAGGCATACTAATGGTCAATCAGAAAAGGGATGGGGATTCAATTTTTAAGTTAGTTTAACCTGGGTTCTGACGTGCATGCAGAAATCGCCGGAATTGCTTCTTATAATCATTTCATTTCTCGGTCATCCAGACAAATCCTGACATGTAACGGAGCAGAACATCAGCACTGCAAGCAACTGGCGCTGGAATAAGGAGGTTTGCCTGAACGTCTGAAATGAAAGTAAGTCAGCTGGACTGATTGCAAGGGGATCCGTTTGTACTACAGAATGAATTTCCAACCCCTGCACCTCAGGCTGGAGGAGACACAAACTGGCTATTTTTCTCTCTAGATGGCAAAAAGGCATGAGCCTACACGAGGGAATCGGGCAAAGTTACCACATGAACACAAAAAGGCAATCAAAACAGCAGCTCTCAAGGATTCAGTACATTGCAGGACAGTGAGCTCAGACCAGCACAATTTTGGCCAGCAATGTCCCAAATAAATTCATCCGATTTCATCGTAATGAAATCTATTGATATTTTTCACAGTCCACCTCAAATGGCCAAACAGAATAAACCTCTCTGCACTTTATTTATTTATTTATTTGCAGTGATTTCCTCTAATTTCATCTGTTTCAGAGCCCCAAACTGGGAAGCTGCAAAGGTCTGGTGTGCAGCTTCATCGAAACTACTGTTCTAAATTGAGCTTGAAAGACAGTCTCATCCAATTGATTCCATTACGTAGGAAGATGTTCTCCCAATTTACAAATCACTTACCATTAGATCACTTCCTCATAATGCCTCAAAAAGCAATTTTGTCACCTCTCCACATAGCTGGATAAATCATTTCCTGCAACTGATGTTGGGTGGTTAGAGTTAGCCTGTTGCAGTGAAAACAAATCTTGTGGCACCTTAAAAGCTAACACATTTTTAATGGCAAGAGCTTCCCACAAGAGTCTGTCATAAAATAAATTTAAATGTCTTCAAAATGTCACAGAAATCATTGTTGTTTTCTGCTACCTGCAAGATTTCCTTGTTGCTGTGAAAATTGCTGCCCAGTTGAAAGAATATTTCAAATGTCAACTTTCAGACAGAAGAACTTAGCAATAAAATTGTTCTTACTTGATTTAGAAAGACCTTAACCCCTTCATTTTTTTTAATGATGCAAGGACCACCAGACACAAATCTCTCAGCTACCACCGATTCCATTCTCTGCTTAAGGAGGGGGGAAATATTCAAACCAACCTTCAAGACATCCCAGATGTCTGGCACTGCTTTGAAACTGCAATGCTGACCCTAAGGAATTTGAAATATTTCTCCAGCTGTTATTCTGGCATATTTTGCTTAATGTGATGCAGTCCCAAGAACACAAGAAGCTATGCCCTTAGATCATGAGCCTCTGAGTGGGCAAAGGGAATGTCTGTCAAAACATACTAAAGAAAGGATCACACTGAATAGTCAGGGGAATAGGTAGGTTTCTCTCAACAGCACAGAAATACAGCAATTTTCAAAGAGCAAGGATTGTAGCTCAGTGATAGAACACCAGCTTGCGAAAGATCCCAGTTTCAATTTCTGGAATCTCCAAGAAGGGCTGAGAATCTACACTGCCTGAAACTGCCAGCACTAAGCTAGAATCACTATAAAGCTCAAGGTTGGTCCACACACTTTTTCCACCTCTCCATTGTATCTTCACAACAACCCTGTGGTTAAGCTGAGATATAGTGACTGCTCCAATGGTCACCCAATAAACTTCATGGCTGACTTGGTGGCGATTAGAAGCCTAGTATCCCTGATCGTAATCCAGCACTCTAACCACTATACCAGACATAGGCAAACTCGGTCCTCCAGATGTTTTGGGACTACAACTCCCATCATCCCTGACCAGTGGTCCTGTTAGCTAAGGGATGATGGGAGTTGTAGTCCCAAAACATCTGGAGGACCGAGTTGGCCTATGCCTGCACTACACCATACTTAGAGCTAGAGCTGCCACACGTCTGAACTTTCCCTGACATTACAAAGGTGGAACTGACGCCTGGGGAAATTTCCAAAAGGTGGCACCTTAGATTGGTGGCCTACTAAAAAAAGCTCAATAACTTTTGGTGTATAACTTTCTTACACAGTGATCTTTTAAAGTCTACTCTGCTGTTGCCCACCACCTATAGATAAGTCTAAAGTTCTTACATAAAGACAGTGGAGGCTGGTCCATTAGGGCAAATGGGGCATCACCTCACCATTCTCTGTCTGTCCTCATCCAGCCCTGATCTGCCTGTCTTCTTACTTACAACCAGCCCAGGAGGTGGCCTAGCTGGCAGCTTCCTCTTCTTCCTTAATCTCAGTGTTGCCCTTGTCAAACTAAGCAGGGAGGAAGAGAATGAGGACAAAAATAGGATGAGTTGGCACTGCCTGTTATTGGGTCTGGCTGCACCTTCTATTGGGCTCCCTGCCTTCCGCCCCATCAGCCCCAATGGGCACCACCTGCCACTGTTAGTAAAGTTCTCACGAAGGGAATCCGCAGTCATTCCATCTGCATGGATTAGCAGAAAGGGCTGCTCAGGAGGCTCAACAAAAATGAAGCAGAGCCGGTTTGATTTATTGCTCTTTTTTGCTTCAGCCATAAGGGACCAAAGGAGCCACTTTTCTCCCTCCTCTACTGTCCAGTGGGAGCAGAGTGCAGATCACAACACCAGTCCTGCCCACAGGGTCCTGGACGCAGGTGCACCAATTATAGGGATGATGAGAGGCAACGAGGCTCCAGGCTGTTTTTCAGCTGGGTATCACAACAGGTGTGGTGTGCTAGACAGACCTGTTGTGTATCAGAGCCACTAAAATTGTGATTAAGCCACGCAGCCTGTGCCAGCAGAATAGTCCCTATATACGCCCTGCAAAACTGCATGCATATAGGCCAGTAGTTCCCAAGCTTCTTCTCTCCCCCACCCAAGGGACAATTTGAAAATTGCCAACTTGGTTAACATCAGACCACGGCAACCGAAGTTCAAATGCCCATACAGCCACAACGCTCTACTGGGCAACATTGGCCAACCACTATCTTTCAGCCTACTGTACCTCACTGGGCCACTGCGCAAATAAAATGGGGACAGGCCGCTTTGCCACTTTGAGCTCCTTGAAGGAAAGGTGGGCTATAAATGCAATAAATAAAATTAAAAAGAAAAAAAACCCTCTGCCCGGAGAAACATGCCACACTCAACCCACACTCACAGATGTAAAAGATCAAGCTATGTATAGCCGCTTTCTCTGGCCTTAGATGATAAAGGGCAGAGACACGCCACACAAACAAAAGGGAGGGGCCACAAAATGGACCACCCTTTTCCAAATCTGGATCCAGGAGATTGTTTTAGATTTTTCTCTAAAAATCTATTGTTTTTATGCTGGTTTTTATGCTGGTTTTATGCATTTTATGCATTGTTTTTATGGTGGTTTTAATGAGTATATTTCTTTATTGTGGTTTAGTCGTTTTTAGATACTGTTTTGTTTTGTTTTGTTTCAAAAAGGGGTTGGAAATAAATAAATTTATGTCCCCCTTTTTTCTCCAACGAGCTTAATGCAGCATATGTGGTTCTCTCCGTCATTCAATCCCCACAGCAACCCTGTGAGGCAGTGACTGGTCTAAGGTCACCCAGCGGAGCATCATGGCCAAGCAGAGGGAGTTTGAACTCTGGCCTCCCAGGTCCTGCTCCAACACTCTAACCACTACACCAATAGCCCACACAATATCACTATGCCACCCTGGCTGATTATTTGCTTAACTACAGCTCGAAGAGTCCTCTTACCACCAGCCTTAGTGGCTGCGGCTAATGGGAGCTGGAGACCAGTTACATCTGTGGACCCAAGTTTGAGCCAGTGGTGCCCAGGAGGTGGTCCAATGGGGAGTGGGGTGGCAAATGCTTCGCCCTCCTTTCCTCTGCCCTCTCTCCACCCACCCATAGTTAATGGGCTTCCTTTCTGGGTCGGACGCCAAAAAGGGGAGTCACCAGCAGGATCTCCCCCACTTAATAACAGGCAACAATGCCCCACCCGCAAAAGGGGCGATCTACTAATATGTACCTCCAGATGGACTCATTTAAAGAGAGGGGGCGTGGCCATCACACCTCGCCCTCTGTCCCCGCCCTCTCCGAAGAAGGGGAGGGGCCATGTTGCCACAGCAACCTCCCCTCCAGCCCCGCCTTCGCCCTCACCTGTCTGGTTTTCCCTCCTTGGGGAAATGACGGCGCTTCACTCCTCCTCAGCGCGTCCCACCTTAAGTATATATATTTATTCCCCACCCCCGACCCCCTCACGCGAGGCCCACCAGCACCTCCTCAGTGCCTGTCAGCTTCGCGCCTGTCAGCTTGTGCGCATGCGTGCCACTCCATCCGGGTACCTCCCGAGCTAACGGGACCTAGGTGGGGAGGAGGCAGAGAGGGGGAAAGTAGGCGTTGCAATGGGAGGGGCGTGTCGTAAGGAACCCCCACATCCTATTGGTTCAGTCCAAAATACGCGGGGAGAGGGAAAGCTCTGTCTCCCATAGCGACGAGAAGCGGTGAGCCTGCGGCTTTCTTGCTGCCATAGAGACAGAGAGGGTCGCTTTCTTCTTTCGACCTACTGTCTGAGCGGGTACCATCTTGACTCATCCCATCTCCATGGCAACGGGATGCAGGCCTCTTTTGTCTTCAGCCTTTCATAATGATGGAGAAGCAACCAAATCTTCATCCTCTTCCCCACGACAAATGGGGAAAATCTTCCCCTGCTGAATTATATTCATTTATAGGACACATTTATGGGCATAGTCCACACAAACCAGTTTTTTATTTTGAAAACAAATTATAGGCCATTTAATCAGAAAATTCCCTAAGCTGTGTACTTAACAGAATTACCAATGACTCTGGAATAAATCAGCAAAACTTTTTTTTTTTAAATACACATAACTAGAATTACATATGCTTCCTGAAACTTTGTCAGTTTTGAAATAGCACAAAAACAATACATACAGCGCTCCTGAAATACTGGTAACGGCAGCAGTATTTTTTAAAAAACATTTTTTACTTATTTAAACAAGAGCATACACTTCAAAAACACACAAGAACGAAAAAGTTAAAGAAAAACAACAAATGAAAGAAAACTAGAATTAAAGACACACACACAAAATTAATCTGGTTTGTTTCATTCACATTCCCTGGATAAAGAGATAATGATTATTGGCGCTGGGGTCATACAACAATGCTTTTTAAAAACTGTTATATATAAATGGCAGCAGCATTACCAAGGCATATACCAGTTAAGAATTTAAGAACGTAACAGCCTCCTGAATTAGGCCAGCTGCCAATCTAGTCCAGCATCATCTTCTTACTGTGGCCAACCGGGTGCCTCAATGGGAAACCTGAAAGCAGGATTCAACCACAAGAGCACCCTCCCCTGCTGTGGTTTATAACCACACAACACATTCAGAAAAACCTAGGAAAAGACTGACAGTTTTGCTAACAATGAACGTCTTATTTAGGAGAAGCATATTTTATGGCTCTTGAAAGATCAGTCTCCCTATCTGACATTAAAGGGTGCAGCTGATGAGTGGGTTATTTTTACATTGTGTAAAAATTGGGTGAGAGATCTTCTGACTTTTAGTTTCAGCAGTTTCCCCCCGAATGAGTTTTGCCTTATCGAGCCACACACCCTTGCCAGCCCTGCTGTGCATCCTTTAGGTGGTTTTGCCTGGGTGGAATGTTTTCTTGCACTGCAATGCCTGTTGCTTGTCCTGAAGAGGTGTAGCTGTAGAACAAACTCTGACTTTTATCTAGCCGGAAAATAACCTACTAAAGTAAGGTAAAAATTGCATGCGTTACTTTGACTGCTTTTGCTCTCAATGTGCCGAACACTAAGAATGCAAATCTTTGGCTGAAACAGGTTTTCCACCAATGTTAAAACAACGTCCACCTGTACATTAAATATTATTGGCAGGGACAAGGTTGCCAGCTTCTTTTTTATGGGCCTGACACCCACTGCAAGGTAAAATTATAGCTCTCCTTATTCCAGGTGGGAGTTGTGAGTAGTCTGCAGCTCAAGCTGTGGAACTGTCAAACAGAAGAGGGCATGGCAGGGTTGTTGCTACAGTGTCTGAGAAAGAGTTTTGCATTGCACCTCTGTTTTATATTGCCCTGCCCAGTCTCTTGGTTGCTCTGAAGGGTGACCAGAAGATGAAAAGATGTTTAGATCAGTCAAATTATAAACTCTGTGCATTTGGGGAGAAGAGTCTTCTTCTCCTGGCCTTTTAATTCACAGCTGAATGATAAGGAACAAGTGTAACCTGCGATGACACTTTCCTAATCTTGAGTGTCTGTCGATACCTCAGTGAAACTGGTTTCGAAACTTTAAATAGGAATTGCCAAAAAGTGGTATTTTGACAAATTAGCACAGCCATCACCAGCTTCATGTCCTCCACATGTTCTGGACTACAACTGAGGCTGATAAGAACTGTAGTCCAAAATAGCTGGAGGGCACCAGGTTGGCAAAAGCTTGTCTACCAGCTATAAGCCTTTAAATGTTAAGGAAAATACTGGCCAGTTTTCTGTTATGTTGGGTGTTGCTGCAACTCAGGATTTCCAAAGCAGCCCTTTTCTCCTTCCTCCAGCAGAGGTTACCCTCAGCTTGTCTATTGCTGAACAGCAGTGCATTTTATAATTTTTTTGTCTTCCAATAGTTCTGGGTTTTGACACCCTTTACAGACTTGACCTTAATCCTTCTAGTATGTCAATGTTAGAAAACAGGAAAAGAGGCACTTTTATTATTTTTTTATAGCATCTGAGAGGTGGTGGATGTGGGATTACCCTTATTCCATATTCATAAGAATCCCAAATGATGAGCTTGGGCTGAACTGGGAAATGGCTACTTTGCTTATACAGGTGAGCAGGGCTTTGCACCCTGACAAATCTGACCTTCTACCAAGCAGAGTCCAGCCACTATCTATGCTGACCGGCTGTATCTCCCCTGGGCTTTCAGGAGATTCCAAACCCTACCTGGAATAGGATTCTATGATCCTGTGCTGCCATTGGGGATTGAATCTTGGATCTCCAGCGTGCAAAGCAGATGCTGTACCACTGAGGCCCAAGGGCTCAGCAATTCTGAAATGTAAACATGGGAGGCAGAGGGGGAATTTGGCATGGGCAACTTTCAGCCGTGAGATCGCATTTGCTGCCATTCCCAATTCCCCATGCTCAGCCACCACGGAGTCTTGGTCCACTCTACACCAGTCCCTGAGAGTTGAAGGTAAAGAAAACATTTTAAAGTTTTGATCTGGCATGCCAAGCCACACTTGTTATCCAAAGGACCATCTGCTCCCTTGCAAATTCATGGACAGATCAAAGAAAGCACTGGCTCATGCAGCACATATTGAACTCCATCACAAAGGAGGCAGCGGTGGCCACCAACCTAGATGGCTTTAAAAGAGGACTGGGCAAATTCATGGGGAGAGGGTGATCAATGGCTATGCTCTGTCTCCATGGTCAGAGGCAGTGGTGCTTCTGAATCCCAGTTGCTGGAAGCCACAGGCTTGTGTTCGAGTCCTGCTTGCGGGTTTCCCAATGTGGCATCTGGTTGGCCAGGATGTTGGACTAGATGGGCCATTGGCCTGATCCAGCAGGCTCTTCTTATGATCTTAACATACCTTTTCTTTAGGATCTGTGTCAGAAAGCCCTGCTCCAGATGCCAATGTCTTTAGAGGTGAGGCAGGTGGCAGCCATAGCAGGGCATTCTTAGTGGTGGCACTCCTGGTGTGGAATGAACTTTGCCCCTAATGACATTCATGGGAATAACTGCCTCACAGATACTCTGTACAACTGACCTTGACATTGTCCATGTCCTGTTTGGGATGATGGGGCAAGGGGGATGCAGTCCAAGTCTCCCTTCCTCCACCCCCATTAAGCAACGACCGCCTATTGTCAGCTCAGTGGGTAGGCATGCAGATAAACCAACATTCACCAGTGTGGTCACAGCCCGCTGCTCACACACTTGCAGGCCACAGGTAAATATCTTCAAACCAGCAGAGAAACATCTTTCCCCCCCCAAAAAAAATCACATATTTGACATTCCAAATCTGTGTTTTGTTTTGTTTTTACAAAAACCCGCTCTGGTAAAAACTAAGGTGCAAGAACAAGAGAGAAAAGGCAGGCAGCCTAGGCATCTCCAAGCTCAGTCCAAACAATCTCTGCCCCTATGGCTTTCAGAGGAGCTGTGTAAATGAAGAAAGACAGTCCTGGATTTCCAGCAACGAGTCTTAAGAATTTGGCCATGGGATGAATTCACGGAGAACGTCTCCTGCACAAGCACGGTGGATATCAAATGGCATGTGTGCACAGCAAAGCATTTCTGCTCGCTGTCCACTTGTTCTGAAGGGGTTTGCACAGACGAGATCTCCAGCTGCAGTGCACCCTCTTTGGTGCAGTGATCCTGGAATCACTCACTCAAAATAGCTCCAGCATTTCAGAGGGGCCGCTATGGAGTCAATGGCACGAGGACTAAGACACAGAGGGTTAACATGTGTGCACAACCCCCTTCCCCTCCCACAGATATACCCCCTTTTTAAAAAGCAAAACAAAAACCACAGGATGAAAAAAAAATTCTGAACAAACAGAACAGCTCAGCAGGTTCTTGACGATTCCACCCCAATGCTTTCCTCAAAAGGGCAGCTGACGTCCCTGGTCAAAAGAGGAAAAAAAAAGATTTCAGCAAGTGCAACTCAAGGGTGGGCTACCTGCAGCAGCTCTGGGGCAGTGACTCATTCCTTTTTGCATGCAGAAGGCGCCAGGTTCCAATCCTTGGTATCTCCAAGTAGGGCAGGGAGAAGGACTCCTGCCAGAAACCCTGGTGAAACGCTGCCACTCCGTGTAGATAATACCAAGGCTAGACTGTCCAATGGCCTGACTCAGTGTATGGCAGCTCCATACGTTAACACAACTCTGGGCTATTGACAGGAGCTTAGCATGCAAACACGCGCAACAAGCGCCTCTGCTCTGTGACTGATGCAGCTGCCTATTGTGGCTGGTAGGGCGGAAGACAGGGAGCCAAACAGTAGGTGGCGCCAGAGCCAATGATAGCCAGAACCTACTAATTCTTTTTGTATATATCTAAATTAAAATCAATATACTAAAAATACACAAAAGCAGCACAGTATATCCATAAAAGTCTTAATATTGGGATGGTAGAGTACTTAAGACTGTTAGGAAAGCCTAATTTTAAGTTGTGCTGTAGAGAGGGAGTTCAGAGTGTCTGTATTTGTTAAAATCCCATTAAGCAGCACAGAATTTTTCAAGCTCCTCTGAGCCTTTGGCTTCACATAATCTATGAGTTACTTTTTTCAGCTAATGCTAAATGCCGCATATAGTTTCTAGAGTGGTTTAACAATCAATTCCTCTTCCAAGGGAACTCTGGGAACCGTAGATCCCAGGATACTTTGTGGAAAGCCGTGAGTTTAAAGTGGCATGATAGTGCTTCAATTGCATAGTGTGGATTTCAGTGGGTCTACTCAGAGTATGGTGATCAGGAGGCAGCTTTCCTCCCAAGAGGGGCCCATCACATTCAACCACAACTTGCAAGGTTTTCACCCTCACTGGAGACAACGCACTAGACATTTACACTTATTACCATGCTCATCTCAAGAGTGCTTGTGGAGAACACAACCCAATGAGGGTGGGCTCAAAGCAGAAGGCAAGAATAAACCTTCCCCCCACCCCAGCCATATACTAATATACTGTGTGTTAACAAACAGAGGTTGAAAGACAGGATGTTCCCTTTTATTACCAATTAAGCACAATTAACTCCACCAGGACTTCTATTTCAGCACATCAGCCTAGAGAGAGAGAGAGAGAGAGATGGAAGGCACATTAATTTCACAAGTAAATACCAGCTGTCCATTAAAATCAATTATGCTTGTTAGTAAACAGGAAAAGGCAAAAGGCAAATACCAGTGAGGGGGTTGTCACCCCATAAAACTGACTGGTAACAATTCAATTATGCTTTTCACGCAGAATGAGTTTATGAAACTCACTGCCACAAAGTTTAGTGATGGCCAGCAATGTAAATATCAGGACAACAGAAATACATGGAAATGAGGAGGGGGAAGGGGGAAGTGGTCTATTGGTTGGTTGGGGTTTAGTTGACTAAATGGAACATCCTACTGCAGAGACAGTCTACCCCAGAAGAGCAGGTGCTGGGGAACAATCAGTGCAAGAGCACCTTATGAACCATCTTACTTAAAAGCAGACTGGAACAAAAAAGGTCTGTTAATAAGAGCATACAAAGGGCTCTGCCAGTTCTGTCTAGACCAGCATACTGTTTTGCCACAGTGCCTGTCTGGGGGCTGATGGGAGTTGTAGTCCAACAACAACATCTGGAGTGCCCCCATTTGCCAAAGGCTGCCGTGAATAATCATTATTTTTGGCTCCATAAGAGACAGGATTTGTTGAGTGAGAATATAGGGGGACAGATGAACTAAAAAAAGAGAGAGAGAGAGAGACTTTACTTAGATGCCAATTCTAATGAAAATACACAGCTTCTGCAACACTTTATTTTATGGGGGTGATGAGCACGCAAAGTCTGGAGCGGAGCAGAGCCAAGGCAGCATATGAAGCCAAACAGGGGCAGATCCTCTACAGCTTCAGGTTAGAAACAGCCAGCCAAGGCAGGGAGGCCCAGAGGGACAGCAGAGACCAGAGGAACTACCTCCCTGTGTGCACCAAGCAGGTGAAACACAGAACACACACATACATGCATGTGAATGAAAGGAGCTGGGTGCGAGGAATTCCAGTGCCTGCAGCCAAAAATGGGGGGCGGGGGTCCGTGTTTGGGGAAACACAAGACAGACACCACACACTACTATACTTTCACATCAGCTCCTCAATCATTTTATCTTGGCCTGGGGCTTCCTTTCTACAGTCTTCCGCAGCTGCAATGAGAAGAGAGGGCCACGGCTCATTTAAGGATGGAACAAAAACTCTCGCCTCGAGTTTGACCAAGGGGTTTAAAAAAAAGAGGAGTTCAGTTCACAGGAGAATAGTATTGTGTGTTATATTTCCAAAGGCAGGTTGGTAATCTGAACTGTAAACCTTTAAAAGAATTTGTACCCAAGCTTGCTTTTTCCTCTGCCCTCCTGTTGCTTCCCCCCCCCCCTGCATGTGTCATGTATTTTTAAATTCTCCATTAGTTCAAACTCAATTAAGATGAAGAAAGGTCCTCCAAATGAGTTGATGGACAGGCCAAAAAGATTTATGGTGCAACAGGGAAGACGAATGTTTCCAAGGCGCCTTACCTGTGGCACTCCTTTGAGAAAGTCAGGAAGTTGAAATTCTCCTTTGTAGACCTTCAAAGAAAACAAGCACGCTTTTAAACCTTTTTAAACACAAGTTTTGATTTAATTCAGAGCTGGTGCAGTGTTATAGTTAGATGTGGGTTCACAGCCCCACACAAGGCTGTGGAGTTCACTGAGTGACCTTGGCCCAGTCACTACCATATTGACTTTACGGGGTTTTTATGGAGCTAAAATGGAGGCTGGTGTAAGCTCCTTGGGAAATGAAATAATACATGTGTTTCTCTCAGGTACCTTTCAGACAGGATGAATGTGGCAACTTAACAAGGGGACAAAAACTATGACAAAGATGCTCAACTCAGATAACAAATATCAGCAGCGAAACAAAGCATCAAGCTAAAAAAAATATCCAGAAACAGAAAGAATAAGCCTGTTTAAAGCCACTTGAAACTTGAAAAGCTTTAATAAATTTAAAGAAAAGACCATAAAAATTGACAGAAGCACTTTCTCTTTTTTTGAGGGGGGAGGGGAGTGTGGAAGACCATGAAGATACGTCAAATGCTAACTGTATGCTCCTTGGGGCTTCAGTTTTGCCAACAGTGCAGTGTATCATTCTAGGTAAATAACAATATTATAGTAACAATAAGCCTTGTCTGTTACCCTTCTAGTGTTTTCCAAAACTTTCTGATCCGGCTTCCCGTAGTTAGGGGGGTTGGCGTAGGGGTCGTAGCCAAGTTTCGCCAGCATTGGGGCAATCACAGGCATGTCGTGAAGGACGTCATCGGGAATCTTCCCCACCCATTTTGACAAAGCTTCCACGTTCACTGGCTTGATTACTTGGTCGGTAGATCTTTCAACTCTGCAAAAGAAAGGAATTTTTGTTTTAAAAAATGATCACATTTAAAGCCAGTATGGTGCTGTGGTTAGTGTGTTGCACTAGGACCCAGGAGACCAGGGTTCAACCCCACCTCCACCTCCCAAATTTGGCCACAATGCTCAGCTGGGTGACCTTGGGCCATGCACTGCCTCTCAGCCTAACCTACCTCACAGGGGTATTGTGAGGGTTAAATGAGAGGGAGAACACCTGTACACCACCCTGTGCTCCTTGGAAGAAAAGGTGGAATATACACGCAATACATAAATGTATTTCCAGGTACAGTGGACGCTCGGGTTGCGAATGTGATCTGTACGGGATGCGTGTTTGCAACGCGCAGTGTTCGCAACCCGTGTCTGCGTGTGCGCGCATGCGCGGGTTGCGATTTGGCACTTCTGCGTATGTGCGACCGCTGAAACCTGGAAGTAACCCATTCCGGTATGTCCGGGTTTCGGTGGTCCGCAACCTGAAAAAAGGCAACCTGAAGCGGCTGTAACCCGAGGTATGACTGTATTGATCAAAACACTGGATTTTATTTGCACACTTAAGAGAAGCCTGCTGGGAAAAAATACATCAAGACAGCTACAAAAATCCACAGCCACCCAGAGCCCATAGATTTGCTCTGTATATTCTGGAGAATATAGTGGCTTGGAAGCTTTCCCAAAGGTGCATAAGAAGAGCCTGCTGGATCAGGCCCATCTGGTCCACACCCTGTTCTCACAGTGGCCAACCAGGGCCTCAAAGGGAAACCCACAAGCTGGACCTGAGCACAAGAGCCCTTTCTCCTCCTGCAGTTTCCAGCAGCTGACATTCAGAAGCCTCTGACAGCGAAGGCAGAGCATAGACATCATGGCTAGCAGCCACTTATCACAGCTTTTCCCTCCATGAATTAGTTTAAACCACACACACTTTTCCAGGGCAGGGGAAGGCTCACACATCACAATTTCTTCTATGGGTGACTCAAGAGGCCAGAGATAAGCCCTGCAAAGAGGGAGAGCACAGCTAGGGGCAGGAGAATTTGGAAGGGGTTGGAGTTGTCTTCCTTTCCAAACACAGGAAACTGCCTTATTGGACCCATCCAGCTCAGTCGTGCCTACACGGACTGGCAGCATGGCTCCCCAGGGTTTAGACAGGGCTCCCTCCCAGCCCTGCCTAGAGACACCACTGGGCTATGGCTCTTCTCTCCCTCTCACTACCCAGCCAACGTCAGCTTTGGGAACTTGCATCTGCCAAGGTAAAGCACTGCTCCAGACAGAAACTCTGCCCTGAATTGCCAATCCTTGGATTTCACAGCAGATTAAAATAGAATCCCAGGCATTCTGATGCTCTTGGACACAGAGCTCCCTTAATGGATTGTCAATATGGTGCTACACTTTCACAGCAGCCCAGGCTGGGTGGGGGAACAAATGCAAAACTCAAAAAAGGAGGATGGGAGCAGAGTCTCTCTCCATCCCCATCCTAGAATGAGCGAGAGCAGGGGATGACTCTGGCCAGTAGGTTTCCTGGTAGCATCTGGTCAGTCTGATGTAGGAAGCAAGAGTTCTTCTTATAATAATAATATATGAACAGACTGAAATCCAGACACCACACACCCCCATCGCCACATCCTAAGAGAAGATAAGCCAGTGAACAAACCAACACACACACACACACACACAAACGTTGCACATTCCTTCTTGCAGATTTGTGGGTTTTGCTTACAGTAATGAAAAGGAAACTTGGCCCAGATCCTCTCCGGGGAAAATGACACCTCCCCCCCCCCTTTCAGAGGCTGTTGCAGACACAGATGTTTTCCATCAAGGAGAGGGCAAATGCCAGAATTTTTCAGCACTCAGCTATGGCAAGACTGCCTGCCAGCAGCCACGCTGGCGATGCCCCCAAGCCACAGAGAGTCCCGTGCTGATCTGCGCTGGTGCCAACCCTTTCCCTGTGAAAAGCCTCCCTTTGGACGCCCTTGCGCCGGCTTTCGAAGCAAGCTCGCGGGAGATAAGAAAAACACGCCCGGAAATTGCTAGAGGGCTGCGGAGTCGCCCAGAGCGACAAATGCAAGCAGGCCTGGTTATCCAGAGGCCAGAAAACAGCTCAGGCTGGAACACGCCAGCAAAGGCCACTGAGCTCAAAGTAAATATTGTTTCGTAATGGGAGATGGACGGAATCATTAGAGAGAGAAGGGAGGAATGAACTGGGCTCCCTTTCCCCTCTTTTAACTCTTCCCCTGTTCTTCTACCCCAAAAGACACACACATATATTTTGCAAACTGTCTTAATGAGCTTGATTAGCCCATGGAAACTGCTTTTAAGTACCGCCGCAAGCCTCTTGATTGAGATCTGCGTCTCTGCAAGGCTGATCAAGGGAAGTTCCTCAAATGGCATTTTCCTCCCAGTCCTGCCAGCCCCCAGCTAAGATGAGAGGCACCCAAAGAGATCTATTTTTATCACATGCAGATGGAAGAGCAGGAGAATGAGAATGCCCTGTCCATATGCAAAGGAGATGCCGCGCCACTGAGCCAACTGTGGTGTTCATGCATGGCTCCAAAACAGGCTGGAACCCTACAAAGAGAGGAACCTTCCACCTCTTCAAAGGTGAGATTTAGCAGCCTACAAGAGCTGCAGCCAGAGACAGTATCAAAGACAGCTTCGTGGTGAAGCATCCCAAGCCAAAAGAAGTTCCAAACCTTGGCCTGGAAGTCCTCACTGCTAGGGGGGGTGCCTCGAGAGTGCCAATCACAATCATCAGGGAAGGGCAGATTTCCAGCCCACGGGACATCCTTCAACCTTTACTAGAACCCCAGTGCCCACCACTCAGAACCAAGTATAATATCATTAACTCAGCCAGGCACACATGTGAAAAGCATTAGGGTTCGGGGTGCCTCTGAGCATACACCGAGCATGGGGATTTGTGATCAACGCCAGAACCAACCTCAAAAAGCCTTTCAGACAAGCTCATCTCAAAAGTCGTTCCCTGCCCTTTCAGACTACTACGGAAACCACATTTTAAGTTTCTTTTTCCTAATCAAATATGACCGAGGTAAAGCAGGGCGGGGTGGAGATTTATATAGGACATAAAATGGAATACTTACTAAAGATAAGAAAGATTAAAATGCTAATATTAGAACGAAACTATCTGCAGCAGCGGGGTGGGGAAGTTCAGGCCCAATAGCTGAATGCCCCCCGCCGCCTCAAAACTCTTCCCAGCAGGGGCAGATTTTAGGGCTGTGTGAATGAAGCACATGCACTAGGTGTTGCACGAAAGGAGCGCAGTCTCAACACATCTTATGTTCTGTTAGTGCTAGGAAAGAGTTTAGTTTAATAGTGGTTTATGAGGGAAATGGATGCATCTGTGTTAGAACTAGCTTGGTGGGATTCATAGCCTGGGTAGGGTTGCAAGTATTTCAGGAGTGTTAGCAATAACGATTCAACCCGGTGTGCGGACTTTATAGCTACGATACACACAATACAGTGGATGGTCAGACAGGCACGAGCTATGCATGTTCTTGAAGAATTATAAAAATGCATACTCGATTCTGACCAAACGACAGTGGTACCTCGGGTTACATACGCTTCAGGTTACAGACTCCGCTAACCCAGAAATAGTACCTCGGGTTAAGAACTTTGCTTCAGGATGAGAACAGAAATTGTGCTCCGGCGGCACGGCAGTAGCAGGAGGCCCCATTAGCTAAAGTGGTGCTTCAGGTTAAGAACAGTTTCAGGTTAAGAACAGACCTCCGGAACGAATTAAGTACGTAACCAGAGGTACCACTGTATACACTTCCAGAGTTAATGCTAAACACATTACGTCTGGTAAATGAGCCACCATAACCGCTAGAGGGCCATGAATATTTGTGTCCCGAGCTTTTTAGACTCATCTACCCACGTACTATCTGAAACCAGCATTGGTCGCCCGATGCGAAAATTTTGCCACCCCTATGTGGCCCACAGAAGATTCCCTCCAAGAAAAAGTGGCTCAAAAAGGACCCCTACCCCACTTTAAGATAATTTTCTCCCTACAAAGATTTTCTGGAAAACCCACAAGGGATCCCCCACATCAGGGAGGAACCAACTCACTTTGAGAGGGAGACGCCTCCGGCTTTCCCAATCATTTCTTCGTGGTGCAAAACGGCAGGGTCCCACGGGATGTGGAGGAACTTGAGGAGCGTTTGTAGCCACCTCTCAGGGTGCAAGACAAGCTGCTCGTAATGGACCATCATGCAACGGTCCAAGCCAGCCTCCAAGCACTGGTTATACATGGTCTCTATGGCCCGATTCCACTTGGTCAAGCAGTCCCTGTAGCTGCTGAGGTCAAAGCCAGCGATGGTGACCTTCCTGGAGATCATGGAGTGGACGGAGGCCCGGCCGTCCCGCACCATCAAGACGAACTTGGCGTTGGGGAAGATCCGGGCGAGGTACGCCAGGGACTTGAGGGCAAAGGGGTCCTTATTGCACAGGTACGGGGCTGGCTCCCCATGCTTCACAATGATCTCCAGCAAGAAGGCCCTCATAGCCGAATCCAAGACCTCGTCCGTGACGCCGGCTTCATCGAGCCGGATCTTCTCCTTGCTCGACCGAGCCCACATCTGCTTGACGGCCAGGATCCGGGGGATCACCCGCGTCTCTTCCCCGCAGCGGATGTCCGGGTGAGCGTCCAGCATCGCCCGCATCAAGGTGGTGCCACTCCGTGGGACCCCTCCGATGAAGATCAAGGGCATGTCTTTGTGGTAGGCCAAGGTGGCATTCTCTGGCGAACCCAAACCAGCTCTCAGAGTGGCCCTGACCGGCTCCGGGCGGACTATCTGCCTGCGCTCCTCCATCTGGTGGTGGCACTCCATGGCATGCTGGCCCAGGTAGAAGACGGTCACTGAGCTCACCACCAGGCACGCCAGCAGCAGGTTCTGCTTGAGTTTGCCAACCATCTTCGCGCAGAACGGTGCCTCACACGACTGAAGCAGATCGCTTGGGCCACGTCAACGATTCAGACCATGAAGAAGCTAGATCTGAAAGCGAAAGAAAGAAATTGCGGTCAGGACAATTTACATACAACCTCCTCCAGCCCATAACAACACACATTCATGGAGGACTATCAAAGGCTGTGTTCTGCCTCCGTGGCCAGAGGCAATAAGGCTTGTCTGTGCCAGCGTTCTTGTGCACGGGTCTCACTTGCAGGTTTCCCATTAAGGGCATCTGGTTGGCCACTGTGAGAACAGGATGCTGGACTAGATGGGCCACTGGCCGGTGATCTAGCAGCCTCTTCTCATGGTCAAAATGACACACTTCTCAGAAACAGCAGCACCCAGGTTACAGTACCGTCTGCCCCAGGAGCATGGCAGCGTTCGAAATTAACAAGGCACATTTTTGCATCTGGCACAGGTCCAATTGTGACCACAAGGGAGATCTCTGGGTGCCAGGTTGACGACTGGGGTAAGCAAAATGTCACTTAGGGAAGGATCTGAAATATTTTCTGTGAAACTTGAATTTGTTTTATTCTGCATGGTTTTAATGTGTTGTAAATAGCTTTGAAATTCATTAAAATATAAAGCGGTATAGAAATGAAATGAACAACAAAGATCAATGGAGAAAAAATGGCACCTAGACATTCTGTTGTGGCAACCGTAACCAAGGTTTAAGGTGCCATTTGGCGATTAGATTATTGATCTGAGTTTCTAACACTGAAACAAGGGTGCTCCTTGGCACTTCAACATTTTGGGGCCATAGGCCCGTGAGACAAATTAGCCTAAGATTTAAAGGAGTTCATTTATATGTACAGATACCTCTGGGGAATTAAGATGAAGGGCTCCATAACCAGACACTGGAGAGACCTGTCAGGAGTAAGCATGGACCAATGGTACCAAATAGTATGGGAAACAGCCCCACTAGAAAAATTAACTAATAAACTGAAACTGACACGGGGACAAACAGAAGAAGACGCCTTCACCCCGGTATGGCTCCCCTTTATCACATACACAGCCCAACAGGACAATGACAATAATCCACCAACAGCATACAAATCAATATGGCTAACCTGATCCAAAACACCCACCCACCCCACTCACACACAAAAACAAAGATCACCACAGCCAATCACAAGCAAACAATCACACCCTAGGCCAACCCCAACCTCTCTCACCACCAAAGGAACACAAGTGAACAACACAAGCAACGCTGACACCAAACTCTACATACATTAAACATAATAGAAATACCGCCACCCGACCCCACCCCCATCCATCTTCCCTCTCTCCACCCCCCTTTCTTTTTTCTTCTCCCCCTAATGCCTCAACAAATGAAACGGATTTGTAAAAATGTTACATGGAAGAAGAAAAAAATACGAGGCACTACACTTCTGTAAAACAAGAAAATCCTTAATAAAATATTTAAAAAAAGATGAAGGGCTGCCGTCACCAGTGCAGCCCATTGCAGGGTGCCCAGATGCTGTTTTAAGTCCCTGTTGCCATATAATAATAATAATATATATATACAGTGGTACCTTGGGTTACATACGCTTCAGGTTACAGACTCCGCTAACCCAGAAATAGTACCTCGGGTTAAGAACTTTGCTTCAGGATGAGAACAGAAATCGTGCAGTGGCGGCACAGCGGCAGCAGGAGGCCCCATTAGCTAAAGTGGTGCTTCAGGTTAAGAACAGTTTCAGGTTAAGAACGGACCTCCGGAACGAATTAAGTACTTAACCCGAGGTACCACTGTATTAGGGTCTGCCCCCCCACTTGCTCTGCTGTTTGTCATCCCCACCTCCCCTACTTTACCCTTCTTCCACACCTGACCAAGCCCCTCACGTTATGCCTCTTCCACCCCCTCACCTGTCCCCACCCCCAGCTTGCTCCAGCAGCTGTTTGGTGCTGAACTGACTCATTTCCACAACAGCAGCAAGTGGAGAGGGAAACACAGGTTTGGACCTGCCCGCCATGAAGCAGAGGCAGCCAAAAGCACCGCCAAGCTGCCCCTCGAGGGACGGATGCCTCCAACAGCTGAGGTTTCGTTATTCTGACTATTTGGACAAATTAATTCCATCTTGATTTCACAGCTGCTTTTGCTGGGTGAGGCCAAAGGCCCATCAACATGTTGCTCCCAGCGGTGGCAAGGCAGGTGTCTCTTTGTCCCCAAGTGCACTGTATGCAGAGGTACACCATCTCTGCACATGGAGGCTCCATTAGCTCAAAGAAATTCATGGGAGAGGATCAGATATCCCTAGAGGACTACCTCTGAAGGACGCAGACTCTCTTTCATGGGAGGTTTCTAAGCAGAGGTTGGGTGGTCATCTGTCATGGATTCTCTGCCTAAGATTCCTGCATTGCAGGGGGTTGGACTAAATGACCCTTAGGGTCCCTTTCCAACTCGACAATTCTAGGATACTATGCGTGGAATAATGCACAGCGCCCATTCATGGAAAAACCATCTTTTTATTTAAAGCAAGCTGCTATTGTTTGTGGCTGCAAAGACTTATAAAAGGGGACCTGCATCAGCATATGGAGACAGAAAAGGCTATTAGCAACTATGACAGGAAAGCAAGCTTCACATTCAGAGGCAGTCTACCTCTGAGTGCTGTTACTATGGGGGAATTACAGGCAAGAGCTGTTCCCTTCACACCCTGCTTGTAGGCCTCCCCAAACCATCTGGTGGGTCACTGTGGGAGACGGGAAGGAGGACTAGATATAGTTTGGATCCAGCAGCAAAGAGGACTAGTGGGAAGAAAGGAAACACAAGAGAAGCTTGCTGGATCAGGTCAAATGGTCCATCTAGTCAGCATCCTGTCTTACAGTAGCCAACTTGATGCCTGTGGGAAAAGGTGAGAGCAGGATTTGAGCATCAGAGCCCTCTCCCCTCCTGCGGTTTCCAGCAACTGGTATTCAGAAGTGTTCCTGCCTCCCACAGCGGAGGCACACAATAGCCAAGAATCCTCCATGAATTTGTCCTAGACTCACATATTCAAGGGACACTGGAGTGATTCTAGCAGGAAAGCCACTGCACATTTCTCCCCACCCCCCACCCCCTAAATACCTCAAGTGTTTCTGTGGTGTGTTTTTTTTAATAATTTTTATTAAATTTCCATTTACCAAACCAATCATGTCATATTACTTATTCCAAATTATACCAATACAAATCATAAAATCCAAATATTTTGCCAATTATAAATTTTGTGGGGGGTACCCATGCTTCGAGATCGGTTTCTCTTAAGATGCTTCGATTCTGGTTTCTCTTCAGATCGCAAGTGTTTCTGGGTGGGTAACGAACCCAGAGGAAATTGAATTGGGAGGTGATCTGGGTTCACGGGCAGAATATTAACATCAGGAAATAAATTAATCATAGATGACTAACTCGAGATGATGGGGGGAACTAAATTGATTTGCAGCAGGAACTCTTGTGAAATGAATAAAGAGTAAATGAACTGAACTCTATTGGGATGATCCAATTTGGGTGGGCTGCTGCAGACTGACTGAACGGCTCACCTGGGGCGAGCTTGGACAGGAAATTAGCCGGCTCATCTCCTGTGACATTTAAGTTTGTGTCTACAGACTCTTAATCTTTTATGCAACCCACCTGCTGCAGGGTGCCATGAGGCATAGTAAGAAAGATTATTTGGGACAGATGCCCTCTTGAAAGTAAGTGGATGAGATCTCCTGAAAGCTGTGTTAGGATTCTCTTCAAAGGGGCATTCTAACCATGTTCAGAGGCCCCTTCTCAATCTTTTTAAATTTAAAATGCCCTGCTCAGAGATCCCCATATATGTCAGAATCAATTTACAATCAATATAAAGACACAGTATATCCCAGCAGGTATAAAACACCCTTCATTTCCAACAGAAAGCTGATTAAAAATACAGCGAAGAACAGTTTCTCTGAGCATGTACAGGCCACTATACGCAGTTTTTTTATTAAAAAAAACACCACAGGGTACGGAGTTATTGTACATGACCAGAAAGGTTTTCTATCTACATCTTAAACACCTCTTATAGAAACCATCCAGAAGATCAAAGACAAACTAATATCTGGTTTTTCTGGCTTAACAAACTTTCTGCTCAATTAATGAAACACAAATATGAATTATTTAGCTGGCAACTGAGTCATTCAAAATCCTCGGTGGCAACGCTGGCTGGCTGCTCTTCTCAAGAGGTTGGCATCTTTAAACGAGCATTTTTAAAAACGCCTCCGAGCACATGCAGAGTACAGTTCCGACACACATACCGCTTCAGTCTTCTGCGTAAAAGCAGATTAAAATAAAGCAGGTGGGGGAATTCTGTGCGTGGTCAGAAACTTTCTATTTCAACAAAAAGGGGGGGGGAATCAATGTAAGGGCAAAGCACCTCTGAGCACGTGGGAGGCACCCTTTGTTGGGGAACAAGCCTACATACGAAGAAACAGGCTTGGTGGAATCTGTGCATGCTCAGAGACGCTCTCCCCTGATCCCCGTTTTTTGAAAAAGCAACAACGCAGAGTTTATAGAAAGCACGAGAAAGAAATAGTAAGAAGCATCAAGCCAGCACCCACGCAGGCAGAGAGGATGTCGTCTTCTCGGCTCTGCGGTCGGTTAAATGGGATCCGAGCTCCCGATTACCCGCCCCCGGGAGTTCAGGGATCAGCTGCATGCAAAACACAGGAAAGCCGCTGCGAAGCAAGGGGTGGGGGCTCCCACTTTACCTGTCGGGGGTCTCCTCGCGGGTCCCATCCTGTCCCCGCCGCTCCCGCTGCGCCTCCAAGCCTCACCAGGCTCCTAGTCCGCTCCGTCCGCTGCGGCGCTGCCATGGAAATCACAAGCCCTCCCAGGATTGGCCGTTGTGTCGCCGCGCCCCATTGGTGGCGCGAGGGGGTGATAGGCAGGAGGGCGGGGCTTCCTTTGGCTCCACCCCACCCCCAGATTCCTTCCAGCCTGGGCTTCCCCCATCACCACCCACGTGGGTCATCTGGACAGGCAGCTGGATCAGGGCGCACAGCTGGCGGGGGGAGAAACGCAGCTGGAAGGATGGGAGGGGGGGGTCTGGCCTAACGTGAAATATGGGCATCGTAACACTAATAATAGCTGCATTGAGTACTGCTACTGTTCCCTACAACGTGGATAAGGCATGAAGAAGCCTTGCAGATTAAAACGGGATGGAGCGATTCCCCCTATGAGGAAAGGTTTGGGGGGTTTTTCGTTTAGAGAACAGACGACTAAGATGTGGCATGATAGAAGTTTATAAAATGATGCTTGGCACAGAAAGAGTGGGTAGAGAAAATGTTTTTTCTCCCTCTTTCTTTACACTAGAATTTGTGGACACCCCATGAAGCTGATTGTTCGGAGATTCAGGACAGTTTAAAGAAAATACTTCTTCAGGCAGCTCATAGTTGAACTATGGAACTCTCTGCCACAGGAGGCAGTGATGATCATCAGCCTGGAGGGCTTAGATTAGAAAGAGGCGTAGACAAATCCATGGCTAATATGGCTAGCAGTGGCTACTAGCTGTGCTGGCTATGCCCTCTGTCTCCACGTTGGAGGCAGCCATGCTTCTAAACACCAGTTGCTGGAATGCAAAGGAAAGGAGCAGGCTCTTGTGCTGCTTTTGGGTTTCCCCACACAGCCATCTGGTTGGCCACTGTGAGAACAGGGTGCTGGACTAGATAGGCCTAATCCAGCAGCCAGACTCTTCTCATAGACTGGAACAAATGACCCCACAGGGCTAAGGAGGCCTAACCAGAAGCCAGAGCAAAGTGTAAAGAAGGGGAGGAGGCATCACAGTTATTAATCCATGGCACATCGGGTGGAGGCATCTCAGACAGACGTCATCCCTGCAACCTGCTTTGAACACCAGGGTTCACAGAGTTCAGTTTCTTTTAAAAAGAGAGTCCAGCAAGTCTGTTTTCAAAGTTATGCCTGCAGGTTTTTACATTTCCCCCTCTTTTGTAATTTCTGGCATTTCTTTGATAAGCATATTTAACTTAGGTAGGCAGCGATGCTTCTGAATGCCAGTTGCTGGAAACCGAAGGAGGGGAGAGCTACTTTTGTGGCCAGGCCCTGCTTGAGTTTCCTGTTTGGGCTAGGTGGGCCATTGGCCTGATCCAGCAGGCTCTTCTTATGCTCTTCTGGGATGCACAGCCACACAGGCATACTTAGAATCACAGCCTTCCTTTTATGGCTCAACATGTTTTATCTTTTTGGTTGTTGGTCTTTTACGATACGAATTTTAATCAGATTGAGAGGTGGGTGGTTGTTGTTGTTTTTATAGTGACTTTTGTTAACTGCCTTGGATCATTGTTTGTGTATTCATTTATTTTTTTTAAGAATGATGACATTTCTTAGAAATAAAAACCACATATTCCAAAGATTTCAGGGAAACTGAGAGATTATTTGGCACCACTCAATCCACTTGAACCCACCTAAAGCACTTGGGGGAGATGAAATAGGGTGGCACCCTTACCAATTTTAAGTCACCTCTAGGAGGAAGGAAAAAGCACTTTATACAAACTAAACTCTCAAGCCACTGGTTCGGATTATGCATGCGAGTCCAAAGTTTCCATGTTAATCATCAACAAGTTATTTGGTTCCCAAAACCTGCAGGCAGCCACAGGATGCTTCTACCCATGTCCAGAATACTTTCTGCTGGCTGTGGGGCTTGCAGTCATTCTACATTGATCTAAAATTCAGGATTATGCAGGCTAGAGTCCAGATACCTCAATATCAATATGATTTCCAGCAACTGGCATTCAGAAGTATCATTGCCTCCAACCATGGAGGCAGAGAAAACCATCAGAGCTAGTAGCCATTGCAGCATGTGAAGAAGACCTTTTGTCTTTCCTGAATCTTCCAACGTTCAGTTTCATTGGGTGACCCCCCCCCCCCCCGTCCTGGTATTACAGCAGAGGAAAAACTTCTCTATCCACTTTCTCCATACCATTTATGTTTGGCACTGTTCTCTTATTTAAAAACTCAACAGGTCTCCCCTCTTTCCCCCAACCTCCCTACCTTCCTAAACATCTGCTTTTCTGCTGGGCAGGAGGGAAGCTTAATAAAATGCATACAATACGTACAGTGCATTATGAGAAGACAGCTGTGCAGCTAGATCTATCAGACCTTGGCTGACAGCTGAACCTGGGACGTGTCACAGCAGAGAGATGAGAGTCTGCTAATAAAAGCAAGTTAAACACGCCAAGCAGTACCTGGAGACAGCTCACGCAATGCTAGCCTGCAAATCTATATATTTGAACGGGGGTTGCATTTTTTTTTTTTTGGAACATGTCTGGGGGCTAACATCTACTCTGGGAACGAAGTTCCAGACCCTTTGGAAGCCTACAGCTCTATTTCAGAAATTTGTGCAGAGAGTCTTTGGGAGGTTGAATTGAACTAAGACTTAGGAGACCAAGGTTCAAATCCCCACTCAGCCATGAAGCTCACTGGGTGACCTTGAGCCAGTCACTACGTCTCAGCCTAGCCTACGTCACAGGCCTGTTTTGGGGATTAAATGAGAGGTAAGCCTTTGCTGTATTCAGTGTTCACACAAAGGTAAATGGATGCAGAATTGCAGCCTTGGTCTCACTAATTATATTAGAATTAAGAGACCCAGGATGTAGATTTTATTTTAAAAATGTTCTGCTATTAATTGCATTTAGCCAATGACTAGAATGCATCCATGAATGATTTCTGCATGCCTGCACTTTGTGACTCATGCCTCCCTCCTACGTAGCATTCCACCTCTCCTATCTGACCCTGAAAGTGGCACAACTGGAAGGATGTGTTCCTATGTCTGTCGTGCGTTAGCATCCGCATCTCCTTGAGAAGTTCCAGGGACAGATACAGGAAAAGAACGTCAAGAGCCTCCACTGAAGGTCTGGTTGTCTAGACAACTGCCTGATAAGTTGTAAGTTGAGACCACATGTTTTGGAACACCCCAAGGAAATTGATCTCATTATGAAGCCGTGCGTATTTAACATCCCATGACCTCTAACCTTTCTTTATGTAGAAGGACGTTTAAAGATGTTTTGATGACTGTGTGCTGTGTGTTAGCGGCCTACATAAGCTTTGTTCTGAAGTATCTCCGAATCTCTGCCCCGAAGTGTTTCCAACCTCTGGAAAACTAGAAATCATGTTTAGCAACTCTAGTCATGATTCTCAGCAATCTCTACAATAGCTCCATAGGATAGGCTGCTTTTATTGTCGCCATGGTGCAGATTGGGGAGGGGGTTGAGTCAGAGAGTTGACTCCATCACTAGGCCGGAGTCAGGAGGATCAAAGACTGTACCTGCTCATAGAACACTCCGTGCCATAATTAGAAGGTTAAAACACAACTCCCTACCACAACTCTTATTTTAAAAGTTAAGTATGGTGTGTTTGGAATACACCCAGGAGGGTTATCTCTGCTTCAGCAGGCAGGAAAACCAGAAAGGTCTTCTAATCCCAGCAGCTCCATTGACAGTGCCCAACACCACTGGCTAAACCCAGGCATCAAATGGAAAACCAGGAGCACATTTGTTTTCTCATCTTTTTCTTTTCTAAAAAAGCTAGTCATTTTTGAGGAACAGTCAAAGGATTGAAAAGCAAAGCTTAGGAAAATCAACAGGAGCGTTATCTAGGAAAGCCCTGCAGCACACACATGGCTGTAGCATTATCATTAGCTATCTCCCTGGCCTCGGCCTAAAAATGAAGGAGTGGGAAAACTTCAAGCTGGCAGCACAGACATTTCCTGCAGGCCTCTCCCCAAAGCCCACCCCATCTTAGGTCCCACTCCTCCATACACACACTGCTGAGCTGTTTCTCTCTCATCTGATGTCCTCTCTCTGAATTATTCCACCCAGCTGATTTCAGTAGCAGGAAACGTGAGCATTCCCAAGTTCTGGTGCCAAACTACCCCACTCCCCAGTTTGATCTTTTTCCAAAGAGATCCAAAAACTACCAAATTTATTGTCTAGACTCTGTTACATTTTTTTATTCTCCTAGGCTTCTGCTGCTGGCTCCACTGCTTCTTAACAGTTGTTTTCAATTCAACTTAGACTATCTGTTCTATTTTATTTGCCCACCCTCCACCCTTAGGTCTTAGCGTGGTTACAATTTAAAATATAACATTAAAAATTACAAGGAAGTTGCAACTGCAAGAAAATCAACCACAAAAAATAACATCTAATTAAAATGCAACATCTAATTAAAAGGTAACAAGACTTCATATAGTTGCTTATAGATTCCCAAGCTTTCTGCATTAGAAATCTTCAGGCAGTTTTCCAAAAAGAGACTACAACTCCCATCAACACCAGAGGTTGGTAAATGTGTTCTGGCTTGTTGAGATCTGCCTTGGAGGCCGTGAAGGAGAAAAGCCCAAGTAGCACTTCCTCACCCGCTGCCAGAGCAAATGTATTCGGCTGAGGTCCTGTACTTGACTTACTTGGGCATAAGTCTCAAGGAACTAAAATATTACTTCTTCTTGTTGGCATCTGTCTGTCTCGGGAGACAATGGAGTGCACCTCGGGGGGGAACTCAAACCACTAAAGAATCACAGTGCCTGCAGTGACCTCTCTGGAGTGCAAGCCTGGGCAGTGTATATGGAAGCCCTGGGTTTACTTTTGAGTAAAAAGGCATAGGAGGTTGGACTGTTCCTCATTTTACTATTCTCAAGCAAAAAAGCTAAGTATTTTATTTACTTTGACAAGTTATATATACTGCTAAATTAGTTGCTTCTATGTGGCACATACAAGAACCCAATACAATAAAGTGGTTAAAATTATAACATCAGAATTCACTTAAAATGCCTGCTGGAATAAAGAACTATTCATTGGGTGCTGGAGGTTCAACAGAAAGGGGGTCTATCTGACCTCAACCAGGAGGGAGTTCTACAAAATTGGGTTCACAATACTAAAACAGCATGTGAATCATGGGCGACTACTCCCCCCAAAATCCTGAGTGATTAAACAGGAATAGAAGGAAGCAGGTGGTCCCTAAGGTATCCTAGACCAAAGTTTTTATACCTAAAAAGCTATAACACAATATGATCATGATGTTTATTTGTGAACTACTTAACATTACTATGTGGCTTCTGAAGAGTTAGATCTGGGATAGGTAACTTTCGGCCCTCCAAATGTTGCTGGACCCCCCAAACTATTGGCTGGGTCACCAAATGGTGCAGAAACATTCCAGGTCTCCAAAACCTTTCAAGACACACCTCAGGCAGTTGCTTCGCACAGCAGGCTGGGGTTTATTCGAGCTAAGCTTACAAACCACGACATCCGCAAACAGAAGAATGTGCTGGGAGGGAAGGGGAATGCATTCTTAGCTGCTGAGGAACATTTCTATTTGTTTTTGCTTTCAGGGATTGGTCCCTCACACACTAGCAGGCCCTAATAATTAACTGTCAAGTTCTGATAAAGACGGTGCAAAAATATGTATCACTGCCTGGATAAACAGAGCACACACCCCAAATTTAAACCACACCTCTGCTTATCTTTTCATGCATTCATTCTTTTACACAGCTTCTACAAACACAAAATGCAAAGTTTCAGAAATGGGCCCTGTGTTCCCATGAATGGGAGGGAGGGAGGTGGGCAGATGTTGACAGATGCCCAGAACTGCAAGAGCAGGGAAGGGCAGGAACCCTATAGCAAAAGCCAGATGTCTCCAACCTTGGTGTTCTAAATACAGTGATGTAATGCAAGCCAGGTCCTTCATGTTTTACGCTTTCTAAGTCCAAACCAGTTCTAAGCAGGGGGAGTATGTGAGATCTAGAAAGCAGAGAGAGAAAAGTGTCCAGGAGACTGAGGAACTAAGGAGATGAGGGGCCCCAGAGGCAACAGGGCTGAAGAGAAAAGAACACAGATTGGGCGAAGGAGAAGGATGATGACTGGGGTCAGAGGGCCTAATAGAATGAGGTGTGGATATAAAAGATAAGGGAAGGGAAAATGGGTCACAGGGCCCAAGGACAGAAGAGACTGTTTGCTGTTGGTTGAAAGGCATAAAGCAGGGAAAGTTTTGCCTTATGAGATCAGAATGAGATCCAGAATTCAATTTCCGCCAAACAATGGATGGATGCTTCCAAATGCTCATAAGCAGGGCACAAATCCAACACTCTCCACTCTTGTTTGTCCCTGGCCTCTGGCATTCAGAAGTACTAGGGCTTCTGTGCATGGAGGTTCCATTGAGTTATCGTGTCACCCCACTTACTCATACAAGTAACATCAGTTTTCCATCTAGTTCAGGGTTGTCTACACTGACAAGCAGCTGCTCTCCAGGGTTTGAAGCAAGGAGTCCATCCCAGCTCTGTCTGGAGATGCCATTGGGGATTGAATCTGGGACCTTCTGCATGCAAAGCAGATGCTTTGCCCCTGAGTTGCAGCCCTTCTAATTCTTTTTACAGCTATCTGAGCTCATGTGTTGGCTATCAATTCTGTAAGGTCATGTGTTGCGTCAAGAGCTGCTCCCTTTCTCCAGTCCTGAACCTACTGCCAGTTTACTTTGTTGGGTGATCATGCACTCTGGTAATGCGAGAGAAGAAAAACTGGATACACCTCTCTAGTAAATAAAGAAGCAGAACAAGATTTTGCAATCAATTGTGAGATGTATTTTGCAAAACAGGTCGGGTCATTCAGAAGCACTAGAAACCAACTGGTAATCAGAAGGCCAGCTGCATGTAAATCTTACTCAAAGGAGTACACACATAAAAGGCACATGGAACCAACCACAGCATCTGCATCTCAGACAAATCCAGTTTTCTTATCCCACAAATAGAACATTTGTTAAGAATTCTGTTGTTGGTAATTGTTGCTCTTGTGGAGGATAAACAAACATGAAAAACACTGCAGGGTGATATCACTGTGTGTTAGTCAGCAAATGAGGGAGGGGGGAGTCTTCATCCTCCCTGGAACCTCTTTGCAACTGGAATGTTTGGCTGACTCTCCCCAGTGATAACATTTTGGCAAGGCCACCCACATGGTCCAAGTCTTTCTATACCCCGTCTCCTTCTTCCTCCGCAGCCATGGCTGACTCCTGCTGCTCTTCTTGCTCTGGGTCTCCAGGAAGATTTCTAGTGACCGTCTGGAGCAGGGATTCAATCTGCTCTTCAGTGAGCCTCTCCTCACTTTCTTCCACGATCTGCAGAGGAAAAAGCAGTGAGCCACCTCTGGTCTCTTGCCACCATCACATGCTAAGAGCAAACCGTTCCTTAGGGCAAAGCACAGACAAACTTTGCCAACCTGGTACCTTCCAGATGTTTCAGACCACTACTCCCATCAGCCCCAGCCAGTTGGCTAATACTGTAAAAGCAGAAATAGCCAAAATGGGTGTGGTGCAAGGCTAAGTTAGGGATGCTTAGGCCCCAATGAAATCAATGTGAAGAGATAGCTGTGACGAGCTCAAATTCCATTGATTTCAATGGAAACCAACAGCTGCAATCCTAGAAGCAGTTACTGGGGAACTCATTGGGACTTATTTCTGGATAACCATTCATAGGACCATGCTGTCACTCCAACTTAGTCTAGATCCAACCCTTCATTTCTACCCAGTGAATTCAATCCAAGATTCCTTGTGTCTTCTGAAACTGCTCCTTATGTTCCTAGAATGTTTGGCAAACCTAACTGTTTATTTATTTGGGACATTTCTCTTATGCTTGGAACACTCTTCTTTTGGAGCAAGAGACACAGCAGTTCATAGAAAGCACAAAAAAACAGGATAAAACCTGCAGCAGATTAAAACACAAAAAATAAGATCTTCTTTAAAAAGTTTTTTAAAAGAGGATCAATAAAACAGACATAAAATCAAATAGAGAAGCAAGTGACAGAGTCACTAAATCTGGGAGGTTTTCCTTCTATGTGACAGACTAGCACTGCTGAATCTCTAGCCTGTGGGCCTCATTAGGCCTGTCAGGCCTCTGAATTTTGCCCACAGGGCCCTTTTGGGCAAAGCATGCCAGGATGTCAGGCACTTCACAGATATGCTGCATCTTTGCTAAGCTGAGAGATAAGATCAGGAAGCTGCTGCCCTCCTGGTGTGGTCGTTCAAGCAGCAAACTGGGCAGTGTAAAAATGTGCAGTGATGGTACTTAACAAAGGAATTCAATGAACTATTACTGTAACCAATATCAAATTTTCACAAGCTGCAAAGAGATCATTGGAAAAACACACACACACACACACACACACACACACACACAATATGAATCCCCTTAATGTTCAAACATTAACACATCATGTTTTCAGAAATGTCTTGTTCTGGGGGACACACACACCCAGATAGTCCCTTCTTTTTCTATGGCAACTGCCAACCCACACCTTTATTTTTATTTTTTATTTCTATTTTTAAATACTTTTTATTGTCATTTTCCAAAAACAAAATAAAACAATCTTTACATTCATTCTTAATGTCATCTTATTTACATTGCACTAAATTGCGCCTCGACTTCCTTCCCTCCCAGTTGCGGTTTTCATAATGTACATCTCCTCTTACAGTTTCTTCTGCTTTTCTACACACGTCACAAGAATTATCCTAGTCCTGCTGTAGTTCTTAAACTTCTACAGTTCAATTCTATATGTCATAAATTTACTCCATTCTTCTGTGAACTTTGACCCTTTTTGGTGTCGAATTTTATTTGTCATTATTGCTAATTCAGCATATTCAAAAAGTTTTACCTGCCATTCCATAACTGTTGGAATCTCTGATGACTTCCATTTTTGTACTACAAGGACCCTAGCTGCCACCATTGCATATTGAACGTATTTTGCACCAAACACTCACTTTTCTCCTAAAAAGTAAGGGGAATGCTGTCGGGTTATGGAGGGAATGCCTACGGGTGGCATGCCTACGGATTTTCCTCCTCTAAAAACTATGCGTGTTATGGTCGGGTGCGTGTTATAGAGCGAAAAATACGGTAACTTATGGTCTTCTTTTTTTATTTCATCCCCTATTATCCCTAATAGGAATGCCTCCAGTTTTTTTGGGAAGGTGTATCTAAAAAGTTTCTTTAATTCATCATATATCAGATTCCAAAATCTTTTCATTTTCTCACATACCCACCACATATGATAAAGGTCCCCATCTTTATTTTTACATTTCCAACAAACTTTGTTTCCTGTTTTGTACATTTTCGCCAATTTGACCAGGGTAAAATCCACCTTTAAACCCACACCTTTAAATTGGCATTTGTTCTCTGGAACTGCAGGGAATTTGCCTCAATGGAATAGAGAAAGGCTATCTGAAAGGACGGTCGCATTTTCATATCATGATGATCATGACAAGAGCAAACAGAAAATTATTCCTCGTGCCAAGTAAAATCAGATATACGTACGTCTCCATCTCTGAACCGTAAGCCTCTGCAAGTAAACTCTTATCTCAATGAGAAAAAGAACATCTCTTAACCATTTGCTGACGCAGGCTCCCACTCTTTAACTTCTTTATACTCAGTCTCAAATTAATTTCTCCTTGCGATAGCTTGCCTGCCACATATGTGTACTTTTCAAGCTGGGTGAATTATTTCAATTTCTTTTCCTCCTGCTTGCTGTACATTGCTTTGAAAAGAGACAGCACAGAAACGCAAATAAATAAAGAAGGGGAAATCTACTGCTAAGTCAATTCTGCAACATGGAATGATATCCACATGCTTCAGCTTCCAGATCCATTTCCTAGGCTTTGCATTCAGGAAGAGGTTTAGAAACAAGTGCTTTTATTGGGGGGGATTAACCTGACAGTCACCTTTTGTCTTCAATCTGCTGTAACCTAATGAACTTCCTTTTGTTGGGGGAAGAGGGAAGAGGGAGCAGAGAAATCACCTTCTTCCCATTTCATTGACTCAACAACTCCCACAGCTTCAGTGGGTGCAGAGGCCATCTCAGAGTGTTTACTTCAGCTATTCATCTCCTTCTAAAACAGCAGACATTTTATGTGCTCAAGGGTACATTGGTTCTCAATGACGCATCAGTCAATACCTGTTTATTACACAGTACTTTAAGGTCTGTTAGCTTCGGTTGCTAGGCTTTAGGTAACCTGGAGAGGCAAGCAGAGTGGAAATTGGGACTTAGCAAGTCCCTGAATGGTGGCTGAGGGAGAAAACCCACATATAGCAGCTAGGCAGGCAGGCAGGCAAGCAGACCCAACAGGGCTCACCTTCTAGCCTTTGTAGATCAACTCAATGAGCCAGGATTAGGGCAAACCATTCTAGAGACAGAGGGTACATCATCATCAGTGCATGGGCAGGCAAACTAAGGCTCGGGGGCCAGATCCGGCCCAATCACCTTCTAAATCTGGCCCGCAGACGGTCCAGGAATCAGCGTGTTTTTACATGAGCAGAATGTGTCCTTTTATTTAAAATGCATCTCTGGGTAATTTGTTCATTTCGCCCCCAAAATATAGTCCGGCCCCCCACAAGGTCTGAGGGACAGTGGACTGGTCCCCTGCTGAAAAAGTTTGCTGACCCCTGATCTAGTGGAACCCTCTGAACTGCAGCCACAGCTGGCTCACCAAAGGGGGCAGCCAAACATAGCCGCTGCTTCTCCATGTGTTTCCCTCTGGCCTTTCATATCACTCCTTCAGGATACACGACTGCCACCAGACTTTCCCCTCCTGCATCCTCACTCTTCACTACCTCTCATGTGGCCCACTATGCTGTGCAACACACTTTGGCACGGGATTGGTGCCCACCCCTGCCAATCATCCTCTTGGCCATAAAGAGGTCTGAGCCAAAACCACTAAATTTGAGAGCCAGTGTGGTGTAGTGGTTAGGACCAAGGAGACCAGGGTTCGAATCCCCACCTGGCCATGAAGCTCACTGGGTGACCTTGGGCCAGACACTCTCTTTCAGCCTATTCCACCTCACAGGGTTGTTGTGGCAATCAAATGGGGGAGAGAATCATGTAAGCCTTGAGCCCCGTAGAGTGAAAGGTGGGCTATAAATGCAATAATCATGTTCAATCTTATGACTGACAAAAACACAAATGATTTCTGATTATGAATGTCTTTGTGCTGTTCCAATGCTGCTTTCTGAGCATCTAGTTATTAATTATACTTATTTCTGAAATGTAGATCCCAGCCCTCAAATAAATTGTTAAGGAAGGCTTACAACACAAAAGCAAAGATACAATAAAAAACATTTTAAAAGAAAGAAAGAAAAACTGACTACAGACTAAAAAGCAGGGCACAAAAATTTTAAACAGCTGCATGAAGTTTATCTGTCTTCTGCTGGCTCCCACCCCATTTTCCCCTCAATGCCATTTAAGCAGCACAGGTGTGTCCAACTACGTGGCTCATTTACTGTTGTCCATGATGTCATCACATCAGATGTCACTTTGTGACAACACTGGCAAAATCACTGGGGTGTTAGGGCCCGATTAAACAGCAAGGTAAGTGGAGGACAGTCAGGTAAACAACAAAGAAGGAGCAGGAAATATAAAAAGGTCAATGAGCAGCATCAAAAGACTCTGAACATTTCAGGACACAGAAGGAAAAGGGTTACTGCTCTTCAAGGGCTAGGGATACCTGGAAGCTTCGCAACTTACCAACTGGATCTCAACGGCAGTCACAGGCCTGAGGTTGAGAAGTTGCAGTTTTTCTGCCCTGTGCAAATGCAAAGAACACAACACCATATAATTTAGGGATTCTGGTTACAGGAGCCATCCGCATGCTAACACTTCTTGGCCGCAAAACAATGGCTGGAGAGCCAAAGTTGCAGCTTGACCTCAGATGAGATGCACAACAGGCAAATATGAAACCATTTGGGAGCTTGGAAACAGGCTCATGGCCACATCCATAACCCAAACCCACTGTGGCATTTAGTGGCCCGAAAGTTTTAAAACCATCCAATTTTCATTGTAACTCTTTGTTCAGACACACTCAAAACCACTACTCTTTCTGAACCCAGGATTCTTTGGATGCCGACTACAACCCACAGCACACTTTTCCATAGAGCTGTCCCAGAGACAGTTGGAAAAGAAAATATTTCAAGTTCAGAGGCGCCAGAAAAAACCCTTTAGGAGTCTCATATTCTAGGGTGCACAAATATGCTCCAGGAAGACAAAAAGTGGAGTAGGGAAGAATCATCAGCAGGGTGCATAAAAATATTTTTTTTAAAAAACCATGGATTTTTAAACATGTAAATCAGTTTTAATTTCTTAACAACATTAAGATATAAGCTTGTTTTTAAAATAACCTCAGGGAAAATCTGAACTCAATTAAAACATCTCCCAGAGCTGAATGTATGATCCTCTTATGAGCAGCAACTGTGAAAAAAGCAAGTTCTATGCTAGGGATGAGTAGGAACAGAACTGAAAATAAAAGCGCTAATATAATAATGTAGTTACACAAATCCATGGTGCAGCCACATTTGGAATACATTAGGCCCTCAATTTACACGGGAGTTATGTTCCAGAGATTGTGCCTAAAGGTTCAATGGCAGATGAAATTGCCAAAGCCATTTCCCCCAGAACCCCGCCCTCTTAAAAAAAAATTTTTTTTTTAATTTACCGTTCACTTAAAGCTGAATGCACACAAGTTATATGTGTGCAAGTTGCAGATTTACTGTACTGTGTACAGTTATGGCTGCTTCACCTAAAAAAAGATATAGTGGAGTTTGAAGGCGATGGTGGCCACCAATTTAAAGGTAAAGGTAAAGGTACCCCTGCCCGTACGGGCCAGTCTTGACAGACTCTGGGGTTGTGCGCCCATCTCACTCAAGAGGCCGGGGGCCAGCGCTGTCCAGAGACACTTCCGGGTCATGTGGCCAGCGTGACATCGCTGCTCTGGCGAGCCAGAGCCGCACACGGAAACGCCGTTTACCTTCCCGCTAGTAAGCGGTCCCTATTTATCTACTTGTACCCGGGGGTGCTTTCGAACTGCTAGGTTGGCAGGCGCTGGGACCGAACAACGGGAGCGCACCCCGCCGCGGGGATTCGAACCGCCGACCTTTCGATCGGCAAGCCCTAGGCGCTGAGGCTTTTACCCACAGCGCCACCCGCGTCCCTTGGCCACCAATTTAGATTGTTTTAAAAGACAACTGGATAAATTCATGGAGGAAAAAGCTATAAATGACTACTAGCCATGATGACTGTGCTCTGTCTAAATACTTGGAGGTAGCAATGCTTCTGAATACCAGTTGCAGGAAAACACAGGAAAAGTGCACTTGTGCTTAAATCCTACTTATGGGTTTCCCACAGGCATCTGGTTGACTACTGTAAGAACAGGATGCTGGACTAGATTGGCCATGGGCCTGATTCAGCAGGCTCTTCTTATGTTCTTAAAATATTAATAATAATAGAAAAACAATTTCTCTTAACATTCTGTTTAGGTCCAGACAAACAAAACTAAACCAAATAGATTATTCTGAAGTGGTAATGCAAGAACAGAAGCAAGTAACAATGGTCATTCAAGGGCACTGGGAACTTCTCCCGCCTTAAGACGCCCTGGAAAATTCAGCCTCCATTCAATCCCAGTCTTGGAACCCTGGCAAATTGTCGCTCAATATTTACTTACTTCTCTTGCCTATCTTTCCACTCAGGAAGCAACAACGTACTAATCCCGCACACAAGAACTCTGAACTAGTAGCTCCCTCTGCTGTCAGCATAGTATCCTTGCATGTAATCTGGTGAGACTTCATTTTGGTTTAATAAACATCATATAAATACTGATCTTTCAAATCTGACTATCTACAGGGAAACACCAAAATCTTGAGGCAAACTTCAAAACAGACTGGGAGCCATTTATTTTTCAAACTGTTCTTTGGCATATTTTTGTATAAAGCATTCCTAGTTCTGTTTGTGATTTTGTATAATTATAGCAGAGTGGTTATACTCAGAGAAAGGGACGCGGGTCTAAACCACTGAGCCTAGGGCTTGCCAATTGGAAGGTTGGTGGTTCAAATCCTCACGACAGGATGAGCTCCCATTGCTTGGTCCCAGCTCCTGCCAACCTAGCAGTTCAAAAGCACGTCAAAGTGCAAGTAGATAAATAGGTACCGTTCCGGCGGGAAGGTAAACAGCGTTTCCGTGCACTGCTCTGGTTTTGCCAGAAGCGGCTTAGTCATGCTGGCCACATGACCCGGAAAAACTGTCTGCGGACAAACGTCGGCTCCCTTGGCCAGTAAAGCGAGATGAGCGCTGCAACCCCACAGTCGTTCGCGACTGGACTTAACTATCAGGGGTCCTTTACCTTTTTATACTCAGAGAGTATTTACCGTTCTCAATGAGTCTACTCTGAGTATGACTCATGTTGCATATCACTAATACATTTTAAAAAGGCTCATGGAAGGGATATCAGCAGTAATTCCACCAGAATTAATACCCACTTTACATTCTGCAGTTCCATGTTTTCTCATAAATTGCATGCTTATGGTTTAGGAGAAGTAATGCCCACTCTCCCCGTCAACCTCATATTGCCTATAACAACAATGTCTCAAACTGACTACAACTAACCTGTATGAAGGACTCTACAATTTGAAAACAGAGATGATGAATGTATTTTTTTTTACTTATGGAAAATATATTAATAAAAACTTTTTTTTAAGTGAATGCCTGGACTTTAAAACACTGGTACCTTGAATGTCATTAAAGATATTTTCACATTTATAACCGCTATATGCTTGTATGCACTGGTCTTTGACACACAGGGTATGTCATTTGTTTTATTTTTATATCCTATGCTTATCAGCAATGTTCCTCTTGGATTTTTTTTCCTGCTGTAAATTGGACCTGCCCAGTGGAAATAAAATGCATTTTAGATCTACAAAGCCACTGAGAAAAAGTAATGCTTCAAAATCTGGTAAAAGATAACAGATTGAAAAGCAGATTCACTCATCCATCTCTTGGGACTGATTGCTTTTGACAAGTTTCATCGCTACTTATTGTGTGCAATCCCACTGGATTGCAAAGGCACAAACATCTGCTAAGTAGCACTAAAGGATAAAGACTTAGCATTGGCGCCTCACAGAAGAATGAGAAGAGCCAGTCCAATCTGATTGAAAACAGAACACAGAGTTTGGTCAGCTTTGAAGGGAGGTAAGGGAAACCACCCTCCCACTCATTTCATCATGGCACTGTCAGAAAAGCTTGAGAAATTTGTTATTTGCTCATTCTCATACAAATGGATCTAATCCACACATCCCATGAAAGCAGTTACCTTTCAGATTTTGCATTTCTTTGAATTCTATATTGCAGCTCTCAGCTCAAAGAGCATACCAGTATGTATATAAAATTATTATTTTAGGGTAAAATACATTTAGACATACATACTTTGGGAGAAAAATATATAGCAAAGTCCCTCTGGAGCATAGAAAGAGACTGGAGATGCAGTCGTCACACGTACCCTGAAGGGACTGTGAAGAGGGTGGCTGCCTGTATATACAACCACCGAGGTTACAAGCACTCTTTCAGTGGTTCATTGGAAGAAAAATAAGACATTGAATGTGCCCAGACCAAATAATTAAGTCCTAGCCAATGACTGCTGGCAGCGGCAAGCTCTTTCATCACTTGACACCTCCCTGTGCTTCAGAAACTCATGCTTTTCTATGGGTTAGCATATACAGTGGTGCCCCGCAAGACGAATGCCTCGCAAGACGGAAAACCCGCTAGACGAAAGGGTTTTCCGTTTTTGAGTTGCTTCGCAAGACGAATTTCCCTATGGGCTTGCTTCGCAAGACGAAAATGTCTTGCGAGTCTTGCCATTCCCCCCCCCCCGCATTCCCCCCCTTTTTCTAAGCCGCTAAGCTGCTAATAGCCTTTTAGCAGCTCAGCCGCTAAGCCTTTAATAGCCGCTAAGCCGCTAATAGCGCTAATCCGCTAAGCTGCTAATGGGGTTGCTTCGCAAGACGAAAAAACCGCTAGACGAAGAGAATCGCGGAACGGATTCTTTTCGTCTTGCGAGGCACCACTGCACTGAAACCAGAAATTCAAAAACATCATACATCAAGGCCAAGCTCAGCAGTCAGTAACAAACACAGTGCTGGGTTGCTGCCTCACTCCTGCAAATCTTGGGATGGAGGGGGTTGCATGGGAGAAGCAGCAGACTGGGGGAAGGAATTTCATCCTCTTGTCAACTGTTGGAATAATTGAACCTCTCATCTGGCAGCTACAATCCATCAGCCCACATTACAATATTAATGACTTACTTCGTTAACTTGTGGCTTTTCAGTGCCAAGAGGAAGTCTCTTACAACCTCAGGATTCTGGAATTTGCATGGTGTCTTAGATATGTATTTCAGTGTCTAGAAGGGCAGAAAAAGATAATTGTGCAGATTCAGTCTACCTTCATGCCTCCTTTTCAAGTCTAACTTAAAAGCCGATCCCTCCAAACCAGGAACAATGTTCTCTGAAAGCAACACTGCTCTTCAGATTGGCAAATGTATCACAGCCATGTTGTAACCAAATAGGGAAATGATAATCAAATTGTTGGAAACTTTAAAATATTCACTGAGCAGGAAATCCAGAGGTCAAATGTTTAATGATGACATAACTCATTTTCTTATTTCACACCTGTTAATGTTCATAATTAGAAATAAAGAGAGTACAGAAAAATAAAATAAAAATGATTGGGGCATATGTGGGAAAGGAACACAGCTCACTGATAAAGCATGCAGAAGGTTGCAGGGTACAATATGGAATAGCATCTCCAGGTAGGGCTAGAAAAAGACTCCTGCCTCAAGCTCCAGAGAGCCACTGGCTACCTGTGTACACAATACTGAGCTAGATGGACCAACGCTATGATTCACTCTGAGGCAGCTTCCTATGTTCCTAGTTAAAATCAGACCTTTTTTCAGAACCATGTGGACTGAAATCTTCATTTTCAGGAAGAGGACCATAGCTCAATGGAATAAATAACACATGCATTACATGCAGGAGGCCCCAGATTCAATTTCCACCATCTCCAGGTAAGGCTGGGGAAAGACCCCACCTGAAATCCTGGAGAGCCACTGCCAGTCAGTGTTCACAGTACAGAACTAGATAGACAGATTGGTCTGGTTCAGTCAAAGGCTCTACGTTCCCTTTTTAAAAAAGAGAGCTTAAATGGGTTAGTTTTTCTGGCTTAGAAAACTGCATGTGGATATAACTGTGCTACCTAAAATTATGAATGGTATCAAGACAGCAGAAGCACATTTTCCCCCATCCTTCTTTCTCTCTCTTTTTCAAATGCTCTTGTGTGTCTTGCGTGTGATGAAGGCTGGGAGAGGTGAGGGAGGGGGAGCTGGCAAAAAGGGGATCCTGTGTATAGAAGCATGGCTAGTGGGATGTGGAGAGAAGGTTGCAGCTTGGGACAGGATCATTTCCATTGTTGGTTTTACTCACTTCATACATGATAGTATTCAAATTCTGCTGCCCAGCACTCTGCTTGCTTCTCCCGGTCTCTCGGCGCTGCTGCTTAAGATCAGTCAGCAACTTATACACCTGAAAGAAAGAACTTTGCTATGAGGTGGCCTTAAATGCCATCAGAGCTTTGATAATGCTAGCAGCTCATCATATGAGCTGAACCGTTTAATTCCTGTTCTTTCTGCTAATTTTGGTATGTGGCTCTCTTACATTTTTGAAAGAGGTCCCGATCTTCAAAATGAGCTCATAACAACTATTGTAGGTCAAGTATATATCATTCTATTGCAGATAGAGAGAGCAAGCACACATTTTTATGGAATATAGGACCTTAAAAACAAATTTTCAGAGGGGTGCGGCTTTCACCCCAGTGAGAAGAATTTCTTTAAATTTTGGCTGTAGGAACATTTCAACATTTATATTCCCCACTCCTCCAAGAAATGCATGACTACAATGCAAGCTTTGTTTGTTGATCTGGCATGGAACAAAGGTTAAAACTAGCATTCTGAATAGGGCAGGACTTGACATAAATTATAATGGCAGTAAAATGATTTTACCTCATAATTGCTCAGAAGAGCTGCATTTCCATCTTTCCTAGAAAAACAATAAATAAAATATGTTAAGGTGCTTTAGATGTGTTGGCGTGTGTGTGGAAAATCCACCTTAGAAACCCCTGCCTCCCATTACAAAGCTCCAAAAGAACTATTTTTTTAAAGTATATTCCCTTAGTTCCGTTTTTCCCAGTGTTTTGTGCCAGGCTTGGGTGAGGCTACACATGTGTGAGTAGACACATCTCATCAAAGCCAACCATTACAATTAAGCTTACATACAAGCTTCGCTTGAAAGAGAGCTCAAATGGCAAACTCAGAAACTCACTGCCCACATAGAAAAGGATACACTAATTCTCACAGCACATATTCATTGCCACAAGATAGCTTTAGACAGGGATCAGACTTCACTATGAATTTGTCTATCAGTGTCTGTTAACCATTTCTGTGCACACACCATACATTTGAGACACATTTGTTATTCCAAGAATCCTGGGAACTGTAGTTTGTTAAGGGTACTGGGAATTATAGCTTTGTGAGGGGAAATTAAATAATCATTTTTGGAGTGGGCAGGGGTGTGCTTTAAAGTTATGCAGTGTACACAATCCATGTACCTCCACATCCAGAGGCAGAGTACCTGTAAATATGAGTTGCTGGGGAATACCAGTAGGATAGTGCTGTTGCTTTCATGCCTCTTTGTTGGCTGATTACAGACATCTGATTGACCATGGTGGGAAATGGGATGCTAGACTAAGGCCTGATCCAGCAGGACTCTTCTTACATGAGTTGGTCCTAGAAATGCATAGTCTAACTTTGCTATAAACTACCTCTATGGAGTCAAAATATCTGCTAAGGAAAGAGTTTTCCTGCATGTTTAAGGCTGCAGTCCTATAAGCACTTATCTGGACGCAAGTCCCACTGAAGCCAATGGGTCTTGCTTCTAAATAAACACATGATATATAGGATTCCACTGTAAATCAGTTTCAAGCCACTGGTTGTGTGTAGCGGCTGTTGCTGCTTATTATTATTTTTCCAGCAAAAGGCTTATAGCGGCAGGAGGGGTAAATGCAAAGTGGAGGTTTGTTGCTCCCCCTGTAAGAGCCACTAACTGTCAGATATGAAGGGGGCAGATATTTCCCACACCACAACACTGTTTCTGAGCGGGACTTTAATTTTTTTCCCTTAGCAATGGCCAGTAACCATCCATCTATGCTCCTGGTGACCCAAGCTATAAACATTCCCATGAGTTTTGATCTGTTGGAGAAGTTTCCTTCTGTGCCTCAACAACAGAATGTTGGCTGGGTCACAACAGTTCTTTGGGAGAGAGCCTTGTTGGCAGCTCAGAAGGCTGCAAAATTCCCTGCCTAAGGAGGCTGAGCTTGCCTTGAAACCTTGACAGTTGTGCTGGCCCTGTCAAGTTGCTGGTGTCCCTTTCTATGCTGCCTGAGCTTGCCATGAAACTTTTGCTGGCTGTCTCAGTACCTTCTGAATTGCTTTACTTGTTATTTGTAAATTTCACACTGCCTTGTTTCTTTAGAAATGGAGAAGTAGGATAACAAACATCATATCATCTGCTGAATCAGGGAACAAATGTATACATCCAATTGTGGATGCTATCCAGTCTTTCCATAGGGTAGATAGGCAGCTCCCAAGATTCCTGCATTGCTATCAACACCATTCACAAATGTGGACCCTCATACTTTAAGCAACCAGCCACATATAAATACCTTTTTAAAGCACAACTAGAGATGGAGCAGACTGGCATGTTCCACAGCCAGCAAGCACTACTGCAACCCACACTTATTTACAATTGCTTAGATTCAATTCCATTGGGACTTGCTAGCTATTGTTTACTATTTAAGCACAATCCCGATTAAGCTACAGACAATATTATTTAATTTATTTCCATTATAAATAAATAGAATGTTAGTTTTTAAAAGAAAACAAAAACACCACAAAGCCGCGACCGCTATACATCCTCAGGACAATGGGTTCTGCTGAACAGACAGACAGCACTAACAACAGAAAGTTGCCACAGCTATATAAAAGGAGGAGGGTAAGGCTATTCTCGGGTCCCCCTATTGCAACATATTTAAAAGTACAATGTATTATGTCAAGCACAGCCAACTGTCTGAATAGAACTGTCATACTCATCACTTTCAAACAAGTTCAACGCCTCTTCCACAAACTTCCACAGTTTCTAGCATTGTTTTTGAAATTGCATTGGGATAGGGCGAGGGGGGAAAGAGGGGACCCCCTTCTGAAAATACGCTGAGGTGCAGTTCTCATCACACATTTTGCTGATCCAGCAGAAACTTCAGCAAGCAAGCAAGATCACAAACACACACATTCATGCATTGCAAAAACGGTTACTGCTTTTTGTTGATACGTATATTTGATTTTTTGGAAGAGGGCTATCTTTGCATTCCATCTACATCTAGAGAAATCCCTGCAGATTCTCTATGACCAAAGCCTATTTTTTTAATGCCCCACATAAAATAAAATAAAATAAAGGAGAACACAGTACAGAAAGCAACTGAATGTACTAATGGGTCTAGGAAGAATTATTGTTGATGAAGTGCATTTAAAACAAAGGGTGGTCCCATTTGGAGCAAAAAGAGGAAAAGTTTGCATTGTTTCATAATAAATCAGAAGGTTCAGGGAGGTCAAGGCTCTTTTCAGGGTGTTAAGTCTTGCTGGAAAATATGGAAGTACTATCACACAATTTAATCTATTTTTGTATTTCCATCTTGAATGTAACTACATCAATATGCTAAGAATGATACCAGTTGACATTGCCACACACACACACACAGTTTGATTGCAACCTAAGTACTTGGTACTGTGTACTAGTAAAGTCAGTGGGACTTCTGAGTAAAAGTGCATAGGGTCAGATTGTACCAAATATAACCCCCATCCATTTCTACTTCAGGACACCCTGGGAGGAGGGGGGGAGGAACCTTTTTCCTTTCTGGGGAAGACACAGTAATAAACAAAGAAAATGTGCATCTTTAAGATGGTTTCCATTTAAATAAAGACAATCATGTCCAGTACAACTTTCAAATTAAACAAATACATTTCTATGAACAGAAACTCAAAATGAACTTCTCAAAACCCATCTTTTTGTCAAGACCCATGCGACCACCCATAAGTTTTCATTTGCAAGAAAAACTGCTTGCAATTTACTTTTCTTACATTTATGTCCTATCTTTCTTTCATCATGGAACCCACATGTGGTTCCCAGCTGGCCTCCCATTCAGACACTGACCAGAATCAGACCTATTTAGCTTCAGCATGATGGTGGCCTTCATCCCACACAACCTGTTCTGTGATAACATGTGTAAAGCGTTTAAAAATTACTCTCCATCTGGCACTCAACAGTAACCATATTATTTTTTTAAAGTTATCCTTAACAGCTTCATTTAAAAAATAGTAAAGATGAATGATGCATATCATATGGGAAGATGGAGTAAGTCCAATTTCTATAGTGCAGGAATGGGGAACCTGGAGCCCTCAAGAGGTAAAGAGTTCATATTAAATAATCTGAATATAAACATGTCAGCCCTGCAGTTAATCATTTCTTGTAGAGGCACTGATTAAAGCTTAGTGTTTCTATGTAAATGAAGAACCAATCTGATCATTTCTCAAGTATGAAATGACTTTACACAGGGATTTGATTTTCACTTCATGAAAATGAAGCTGCTCTATCCTAGCAACTACTAATGGACTTTGCTTTTGACTTATCCAGTCCCAGGCATTTAATTTTCTTTGTTACTTTTGTTTTTGCAAGGGTGGGACTGGGCCAAGACAGAGCGAAGCAGAAAATGAGCAACGATGATGTGGAAGAAAGAAAAGCTGGCAATATTGTCCAGTGTGCAGGATCCTTTCTATTTTCAGATTTAAGCTCACAAACTGTTATGTGTGCTGGTTGTAAGAAAGCCCCATGAAACAGCCACTCCTGGACTGGTACCCTCTAGATCATGGGTAGGCAAACTAAGGCCCAGGGGCCGGATGCGGCCCAATAGCCTTCAAAATCCAGCCCGCGGACAGTCCGGGAATCAGTGTGTTTTTACATTAGTAGAATTTGTCCTTTTATTTAAAATGCATCTCTGAGTTATTTGTGGGGCACAGAAATTTGTTCATTTATTTTTTCAAAATATAGTCCGGCCTCCCACAATGTCTGAGGGATAGTGGACTGACCCCATGCTGAAAAGGTTTGCTGACCCCTGCTCTAGATGTTTAAATCTGGCTAGAGCTGGTGGGAATTGTGGTCCCCAGCATCTGGAGTATACCAGGTTGGTGAAGGGTGCTATATGGAAATATTTTACAGACATTCATGTCAAGGATGTGACACAAAAATGTGCTTTCCCCCTCCCTCCCTTGTAGATTAATAATTCTGAATTAGAAAAAGATGATCATGCATAAAAATCTCCACAGACCTGGTAATCTGTAGGTGACACAAACAAGTGACCGTCAGTTAGGGAAATCTTAACAAAATCTGCAGTGCAACCCTATGCATGTTTTACTCTTAAGTGGACGTACCCACACTCTGGCCCCATCCATTAGCCAGAGAGTTGCTGGATATTGTGTGTAGTGCACAATACTTAAAAAGCAGGCAATGGTCAGGGCAGGATTTTGGTGCAGAAGCCCAGAGCTCCCCTCAGGAGAATGGAGGGGGACAAAAGTGGAATAAATACATATTACCACCCAACAGAACATTAAACCTTAAAGGGAAGTCCTCTTTCTGCATATAACTGTTAGTTTTCCTTCTGCCCATACCTGCTGCAACCTAGAGTCTAAAATTAATGTTAACAGCACCACTGAAAGCAGGGAGCCAGATGATGCCATTGAGATTATATAACTTCAAGAACTGGGCCCTGGGTCCATCTGCTTTCCTCTGCCCTCCTCACGCGCTTTTCATTTTGTACTGTGTGCATTAGATTGTGAGGCTGCATGAAGGGACTGTCATCTCCTTTATCTCTGTAAGTTTTTCAGGCAACCCCTTCTCTGTCTGCTCAGTACCTCCTAAAAATATTATCATTTATAGACAAGCCTACCCAGATACTTAGAATGCTAGTGCCTGTTTTACACTTCTTTTTAGCTTACTGATTTTAATTTTTTGAATGTTTTAAATTGTTTCCGGTGGTAATTTTATTGTTTTATCTTTTTTTGGTATTGTATGTCACTTTGAGGGTTTTTCTTCTTTTTTTTTTTTACAATCTAGTGTATAATTTTTATGAAATGAAAAAATAAAAATAATGTTGTGTGCCCAAGAAGGAGGTCTGCACCCGTCCGATTGTTCATTCACCCCTTCAGAACTTTTGAGGAGAGGAATTTCTCTAGGCATCCCTCCAGCACCCTCATTTCTTCAACCATCCCTTCAAATATATTGGTGTTCTTTTATTTTAGGAAATTTCATCAAGCAATGCCAATTCCAGGACCCCATTTCACCTCTCCCTCTTAGGAACGATTTCATTTTCTACACCCCCCCCCTTTCCTCAGCCATCCCTCCAATTGTATTTTTTGGGGGTGGGGAAGGGTAGGAAATTACCTCAGGCATTGCCAATTCCTGGAAATCCACCCCTCCATTTGCTCCCCCCAAATCACAGAAACTCCCCCACCCCACCCCGTCAAAAAACCCTTAGCCATCTAAATGTGAGATTTACCTCTGGAAAGGGCAGCTGCAGGTCACCTCTTCCCCCTACCCAAAAAAACCCCATAGCCATCTAAATGTGAGAAAGTTTACCTAGAGAAAAGTCAATTCCAGGAATCCCCCCAAGTAGGAAATATCTCTTTCCCCCCCCAAAAAAATTTTTTCCCCTCAGCCACCTAAATGTGAGGAAATTCACCTCAGGAAAAAGGACCATTCCAGGAATCCCCCTCTTCCTCCCACCCGAGTTTGAACGGCCTCACCCACTCCCCTGAATTTACACGCACCCCCCCCTCTAACAGGCAGGGAATCCCCCCTTATCCTACGGCGGGGAGGGGAGGAGAGAGAAACGGGGTGACTTCGGAGCAAGCGGGGCTTGCGCAGTCGCTCCGCCATCTTACACTTCCATCTTGCCCACGCCGCGGCCTCTTCCTGCCTCTCGCGCCGCCTTCGCTCGCTCCTCCCTTCGGCCCTCCGCCGCCTTTCTCGGCTGCGTCGTCTCCGGCCGCGTCGCTGCTCAGGCAGCGGCCGCTTTGCCTCTTTCCCTTCCGGGCGATGCTTCCGAGACGGGAGGGCGGCCCGGTCGGAGCGGGGATCTCGGCGGCCTCCTCCCGCCTTCCTCGAGGGAGTTCAGGGCGGACGGCTCTTTCCGTAGGAAAGGGAGGAAATAGTATATGAAGGTATCAATAATACCTTTCACGCTGGTGTATGACTTCTGTCCCGGGAAGGAATCGAACTCGCGTCAGTCTCGCAGCACCATCCTCATTGTTATTATTAGGTCGCTTTAAGAATACTTTTTATAGTGTAAATTAAAATAACCTCTAGCACAGAAAGAAATCGAACCCACGTCCCTCTCGTAGCACCATTCTTAATATTATTATGTCACTTTAAGAGTACTTTTTACAGTGTAAAATAACTTCTACCATAGAAAGGAATCGAACCAGCAGCCACCTTATAGCAGGTACACATCGTATTCCCACCACTGCTACTAACCCCATTTTTTATTAACATAATCAACATCACTTCTTGGCCTTTTGGCTAAGATCAAGTGTATTATTATTATTATTATTATTATTATTATTGGGGGGATAAAAAAAAATAAAAAATTGTCTGGTAGCACCTTATAGACCAACTAAGTTTATACCAGAACAAACTTAGTTGGTCTATAAGATGCTACTGGACAATTTTTTATTTTCAGCTTCAGACCAACACAGCGACCTACCTGAATCTATTATTATTGTTGTTGTTGTTGTTGTTGTTATGGTTGTCACTTTATCCACTGAAAATGACTCAAAGCAACTTGCAGATACTAAAACTCATTAACAACCTGTGAGGTTATCCCTAGTAAACCACACCATGCGTTTTAGAGCATAGCCAAGGCACGTTTAGAAAGTGTGCCACTTCCCCTCATGTGGTGCAGCAATAAAAATGCTAGCACATTTGCAAAGCTAAGCAGGGTCCAGTATGGTTTCAAATTGAATGGAGGACTGTGTGTTGAGATTCCTGCATTGCAGTGAGCTGGGCTAGATGACCCTAAGGATCCCTTCTACGAGTCCTGGGAACAGTAGTTTGCAAAGGGTTCTGGCAATTGTGGCTCTGTGGGGGGGAGAAAGTACAGTTCCCAGGATCCTTTGGGGGAAGCGATGTGCTTTAATTTATTCACCAAGAGAAGGACCTCCCCTGAAGATCTCAGAGCCTGGGCAAGTGAGGGAATACCATCTTTCAGATAGCTTGGTCTTAAGCCACGTAGGGCTTTATAGGTCAAAACCAGCACTTTGAATTGCGCCTGGAAACAGTGGAGCTCTTGTAGCAAAGGAGTCATCTGCTTCTCTGTAACCAGCCCCTGCAAACAGTTTGGCTGCAGCTCTTTGAGCCAATCAAAGTTTCTGATCACATTTCAAAGGCAGCCCTTTGGGAGAGCCCTGTACGCCACCTTGAGCTCCTTGGAAGAAAGGTGGGATATTAAATAAACAAACAAAATGTGCATTTGGTGTGGGACCGCAGTCCTGATCCTGCAAGCGCTTCTTACGTTCTTACGCAGTCCAGCTACAGAAATTGTTTCCCCTTTTACTTGGGTGTGGAAAAACTTTTCCCCACCAGATAATGCAGATCTACAACTTCTACAATCCCTGGCTGTTGGCCATGCTTGTTTTTACTGATAATTTAATTGTTTTATTCTCTTTGTAAACCGCTTCAAGGTTTTTCTGCTACAATTGAGCAGTGTGTAAGTTTTTGGCAACAGCTAAGTCCGTATGGTATAGCTCAGCTAGTAGAGCATGAGAGCCTTAATCTCCAAAATCTATAGCTTTGAACTCTAATGTATCTGTCCCTTAATAACATCAGAGCGGGGATAGCTCAGTTAGTAGATAGTGAGAGACTCTTGACCTCATGGTCACAGGCTCGAGCCCCACATTGGGCAAAAGATTCCTGTATTGCAGGGGGTTGGACTAGATGGCCTTGGTGGCCCCATCCAACTCTACAGTTCTATTATTCTATGAAATAAAAACAGCAGCTACGATAAGTGGCTGCATGAAAGCACCCTCTGGTTAGCAAAAGAGAAGCATATATACACACACAGAGCTTTCTTGCTGGTCCCTGGCCCAGCCATGTTGCTAGACAACACAGAGAGAACAAAGGCACTTTGTCCCCTTTTTCCTCCCCAAAAAAGTGTGCTCAGCATAGCAACGTTTTTCGGTGCAGCGTTCTGAGTGAGATGGCAGGGGGGCCCAGGGTCACTTGTGTGCATGTCGGTATTAACTATTGAAAGCAGAGAGGCCCAGCGCCAGCTATTGTGAGTATTTGTATTCTTTGTCATGAAAGATGTTTACTACGCTCAGCATTTTGCTGATGACACCAAAGTGTCTTTTTTCTCTCCCCTTTCCTTTCTTTTTCTTTCTGTTTCTTTCTTTTTTATAAAGAAAGGAAACACGCACAAACATTCCCTATTCATTAAAACAACTGGTTTTAAAAAAACAAAAATGTCAACACCTCTCCATACAAGTTCAGCTGATCAAGCATTTCGCCAGCGCTTTCAGGATGTATACAGAATCTTTCTTGCAATGCTGAACGTACTTTTTTAAAAAAGCTCATTTTAGCACCCCGCATTCATTAAACATAATTGCTTCTTAAAGAATGAAGAAGCATTGCTATACTATTCAGTTTTAAAATAGTTTAAAAGGAACTTTTATTTTATTTGTACACATAAATCTAAGAATAATGAAATAAAAGTTTTATATTATGAGGACCCAGATGTTTATTATTTATTTATTTGTTGGTTTGTTGCATTTATATCCTACCTTTTTCACCAAGGAGCTCAAGTTGACTTACAACCCCTTCTACCCCTCCAAATTCATCCCTGCAACAACCTTGCAAGGTAGGTTAGGCTGAAAGTCAGTGACTGGCCTCCAAGGTCACATCCAGCAAATTTTATTTGGACCCTTATCTCTCCCAGGTCCCAGTTCGACACTACCCACTACAGTATACCACACACAAATCTAGGAATAATAATAAAATTACAATTATTATTATTATATTTCTTACCTGTTCTTCACCAGAAAGCCCCAGAGTGGGTGACAGCAATGCAAAATACAATATTAAAAACTACTTTAAAACAATTATGCGTACTCTTAAAGACACAAGATGTTGCCCCAACCATTTTTGATTCAATTACACTGAATTTTTTTCAGTATAATGGCTTGTGGTCTATTTGTCAATGTGCCTGGCACTTTGCAAGGGACAAGAAGGCAGGTCCTTGCCCCAAGGAGGTTACAATAAACAAAATGACATAGGGGAAAACACGACAACTGAGGAAAGGGAGGCAGAAATCAGCATCTTCAGTACCTTCAGGGGAAATAAGAATCTGCATATCAAAGAAAAGTGTTTCATATGAATTTAGATTTTTTGCAATCGGCTAATGGGACACACAGCTTCAGTTGTTCCTTTAGGTCAGCCTTTACCATCCTGCTGCCCTTCAGAAATTTAGGACTACAACTCCCATCAGCTCATGGTGGAATACACCGTTCTCACCCTCTTACTCTCCATTTTATCATCACAATAACCCTGTGAAGCAGGTTAGGCTGAGAGAAGGTGACTGTCCCAAAGACACCCAGTTAGCTTCATGGTGGAGTGGAGATTTGAACTCACCTCCTGGGCCCTAATCCAACATGCTAACCATTACACCCATGCTGGTTTGGATTGTGCTGTGGGTAGTGGTTTCTGAACATCACCCATTTTTCCTTCTGTGAAATGGGTATTTTGTGGTGCCTTAGCTGCTCAGATTTCCACATGGGCCCAAGAGGGTTGGGGGGACCCCCCCATGGTTTTAGCATAAGGAGGCTTATGTGAGGGGAGTTATTGATTTGTGGGGGTTTATGGGTCTTGTTTTTATTATATATTTTGCATTCTCATTTTGTATTTATATGTTGTGAACAAATTTGTGTATACAAATTTAATAAATAACCAACAAATAAATATTGAGCTTCCTATGTTACTTTGCTTCCCTGAGTCAGTGCAGAGTGCATTTCTCATCATAATAGCAACCCAAAAGTGAGATTTCCAGACAGATTTTTTATAGAAATTAAGCAATCCAGATAAAGCCGGCCGGGGGGGGTGGATATAACATCTCCTACTTAGATAAGTAAGCTAAAGTGCTTAACCTTATATGAATTATGTCATTAATGAAGGGGGGAAACCCATTAAACAACATAGGTTATTATATGGTGCGAGGAGGGAGAGATTGATACATATGAAAGAAATTTGGACATGATGGACAGGGTTGCTTTTGAAACCATTTTCTTGATCTGATTTGTCAACCGCTGTTGCAATGCAGGAGTAGCAACTTAAAATCACCATAGCATAACAAAATAAGAAATGATAAAAGCAGGAATGTGACATTCTTTGACGCACTTCATTCTTTGCCTCTTGGATCTTAGATGGCAAAAGCCTTGCACAAACACAACGCCTCTAATTTTGGAATATTTGATGCAAAAGGGGAAGGGTGACAAAAAGAACAAAACCATAACATGATCAGAAAAACCAGTCAAAGGCAGCTAATCTAAAACATCCGAATAATAAGTTGTTGTTTTTTTAAATGAACCAGCAATAAGCTAAAAACAGATCAAAACACATATCAGCATCCTACAACCAACATGTTTAATCAAGGCTGTGCGCTGACTTTTCTAAGCCCTCCCGGGCTTCTTGGACAAAAAGGTGGGAGATAAATGCGATAGATGATAGGTAGATAGATAGATAGATAGATAGATAGATAGATAGATGGGGAGGGATCATCATAATCTAGCTATAATATAATACTTCCCTCTCCCCGCCACACACATAACTTGCTAAATTATTTCCTAAGATTTGGAGACAGAGTCGGTAAAAAAACGAAACTCTGCAACAAGAGCGAGTTTGATATCTCTTGATGCGTTTAATCACTTCGCGCTATTAGGAATACAGATTTGAGAGCAGCCCTTCCAGAAGCGTTGGGGTAAAGCCAGAGGGTCGGTGGGCGGGGCCAGCTATCCGTTCTGACAGTAAGACCCGCCCAGGGGGCGTGGCTTGCTGGAGACTGCCGCTTGAAAAGGGGAGCCCTGGGCGGCTTGGAACAGCACAGATCGGCTGGTTGGTGCTTCAGAGGCGCAGCAGGTGAGCCCATCGTGGGAAGCAGCTGCGGGGCGCTCCCTGGCGGTCTCTCCAGTAGCCTTGCAAAGAGGGGAAAGGATGCACCGCATCTCTGTCTCGCTCTGTCTGTCTGTCTGTCTGTCTGTCTGGGATGGTAGAGGGGCGGGCTTCTTATGCAAGTGTCAAACCACCCCCAATCTCTGGCTCTCTTCCAGATTTTGCAAAGCTTGCTTTCTTTCTAAGCCAAATTGGAGAAGGAGGAAACATCGCCAGACATGGCATCCGAGGTGAGCTGGGAGTTTTTGGAAGTTCACCTCTCCCCCCCAAAACCCCACCTTCCATCCCTGTCCCTTTTCACAATAAGGTTTGTCATTGCGGAGGCTTCACATCAGAAATAAGTTTGAGCAAAATTAGGGTTTGTAGTTATTTCTATGATTCATTTTCCGTTTTGATGGCACTGACAGTAGCTTGCATGCTGGAGAGGGCATGGTTGCAGCATGGGATAAGGATTTTTTGGGATGGTGGAATTCACTGTCACCGAAGAGTTGCTGAAGGGTCTTACATGCTAAGAACCAGTTTCTGGGTTTGCTGTTTTCCTCCTCCCTCCGAAACCCTTTTCCTTTTGTGTCATGTGCTTTACAATTTAAGCCCGAGATCAGGAGTTGTTTTATTACTGAAATTTGTAAGCCTCTTGATGAGCATTTTTTCCAGGGCTGGAGAGTAGGATGTGAATAAATAAAATATATGGTGTATTCCATTGCTGCAGAGCAGACATATGGGTGCCCCTTTATTGTGGTTGTTAGCATGGTTAGATGAGACTCGTATACCCTCCATGGTTAGAGGAAGCGTACCTCTCACTGCTGTTAGTGAACAAGGGCCTGGCTGTTAAACCATGCATATATGTGAGTCCATTGAACTACCCTGTGTTGGAGGCAGAGTACTGAGCTAAACAGCCCCAAGAGGGCTATTCTTATGGTTTCATTTATAGCACTTAGATTCTAGACATCTGGTGCCTGAGTTTCAGACAACAGCTATTGCTGGGTATCTAACTTTCATTTTTTTTGACCCGTTGTAGGATTGAATCATAGAACCTTCTTATTTATAGTGTGCCATCAGCTAAATGTTGGCAGATTTCAGGACACACAGAAGGAAGTTCTTCTTTACAGGGCATATAGTTAAACTATGGAACTCCCTCCCACAGGAGGCAGGGATGGCCATAAACCTAGATGGCTTTAAAAGAGGATAGGACAAATTCACGGAGGTGAAGGTTATCAGTGGCTAGGAACCATCATGGATGCGCTCTGCCTTCAAAGCTGGAGGCAGCGATGCTTCTGAAAACCAGTTGCTGGAAACCACAGGAAGGGAGAGATGGTCTTGTGCTCACATCCCTGCTTAGGGGTTTCCCACAGGCATCTGGGAGAACTGGATGCTGGACTAGATGGGCCATTGGCCTGATCCAGCAGGCGGTTCTTATGTTCAAGAGGCGAATGAATTTAGGGTGGGAATGTGAGGGGTTTGCAATGCTGGAAGGCCCAGGGGTTGGGGAGAGATTGGAAGGGGCCAGGCTTTGTGGTGGTGCACCTGCATTGCATACGGAAGGCTCCTGGGGAGTCTGACGCCCTCCCTGGCACGTCCGTTTCAAAGAAGCTCGCACGGCTGAAGGCCGTTTCCTGGTCAAGTCAGACACTCTTGGGCAAGGTGGACCCACAGTCTGACTTGCACATGCTGTATTGGAAGGATCTATACGGATTCCTAGAACTGTAGAGTTGGAAGGGACCCCAAGGGTCATCTAGTCCAACCCCCTACAACATAGGAACCACAGCTAGATAATCCCTGACAGATGGCAGCCCATCCTCTGTTTGAAAACCTCCATAAGGCAGAGGGCAAGCAGCTCAGTGCATCAGTTTGGTGTGCAGAACCTCCCGGGTTCACTCCCAGATAACATCTCTAGGTAGGGCTGGGAGAGACTCCCTGCCAAAACCTCTGGAGTGCCACTGCCAGTCAGTGCACACAATTCTGAGTGAGATGGACCTGCAGTGCATCTCAGCATAAGGCAGCTTCCTGGGTTCTTTGATTCAAAACCATGAGGACTAGAATCTTAACTTTATTTTCAGGGCAAAGGCTGTGGCTCTGTGGCAGAGCATCTTCTTTGCATGCAGTAGGGCTGGGATGGACAGGCAGGTCTGACTCAGTCCTGCGTTCAGAGACCCTTCCTTTTGAAAGCAAATCCTCCCCTAACAAGACTCGCTGTCTCTTGCAAAAAAAGGGTATTTGCAAGTGATGCTGCTCAATGCTAACCTCCATTACTGGCATTGCCCAGGAAAAAGAAGCATTTTTACTTTTTAAAGTGCTGAATGCAGGCTTCAATGTGGCTTGACCCTGAAATGATATTTCCTGGCCGGCTGACCTTTGGCTCCTGAAGAGGCAGAGCAGTCACATGTTGCCCTCCTATTTGTTTTGAGGCAACGGGAGCAGTTGCAGCAACGGAATCCTGTGCTGACAGAAGCAGATTGTGATCCACTGAGTGTTCCGCTGAAGATCAATAATAAGCTATATGTGCTGGATTCACCAAAAAGTTGGCTGGGGGGGAGGGAGAGGTGGTGAGCTCCAGAGGTAGACCTGTGGGTCATATGATTTCAGAATCAGACTTCAACATTTGAGGGGAGCTCTGCCGCTTGGGGGGGGGTGTCTCAGGTTCAACCCTGGTAGGGCTGGGAATGTGCCCTGCCTGAAACCCCAGAGAGCCACTACCAGTCAGTGCTAGATGGACCAACAGTGTAATGAAGTACAAGCCAGCTTAGAATCATAGAACTGTAGAGTTGGAAGGGACCCCGAGGGTCATCTAGTCCAACCCACTGCAACGCAGGAATCTTGACTGAATCATACATGGTAGATTTGCCATCCAAGCTCTGCTAAAACAAACCTCCAAGGAAGGCTCAGTCCCCAGTTGCATTCCCAGATAGGGCTAGGAGATGCTCCCTGTCTGAAACCCTGGAGATCTGGTCCATGTGAACAATACTTAGCTGGAGTTATTTCCTACATTCCTCCTTAATTTCTCACTCTTGCTAACCTGCGCAAGGCATCTTCCTTCTTTCCCCAGGGTGATAAACTTTACGGAGGAAGGCTGACGGGGAGTCTTGATCCCATCATGGAGAAGCTCAACTCTTCGATAGAGGTAGACCATCGCTTGGCGGAAGTTGACGTCCGCTCAAGTATAGCTTATGCCAAGGCTCTGGAGAAAGCTGGGATCTTATCCAAAGCCGAAGTGGAGAAGATCATCAGTGGGCTTGAGAAGGTATTGATCCGGGAACTTCAAAGCAAGCTTACAAGATTCAGAAAGGGTGCTTTGGGAGACAGGGACTGTTTCATCTTGAGTAGGGAACATTAGAATTTAAGACCTGGGGCCTGGGTTTGTTTGCTTCCCCTCTTTCCTTGCCAGTAACAGGTTAGAAAATCTCTACTTCAAGGGCATGCAATTTGTGTTCCCCCCATCACATCAGTCTGGGATTCTTCGTTAGAAGGAAGAATCAACTTCTCCTTATCCAATGTACAGTTTCTTTTATAAGAGCACCCCAGAACGAAAAATATTTATGTGATGGGTGATGTCATCCACTTCCCAATATGCTGACACCCATAAGTGCATGCTAGCTCTTTTTGACTTTCTCCTGGAAAGAAGCAGGGCTCCTAAACACAGCTTCTTGGACTCAGCTGTTAAATGCATGAATGGCTCTCTAACTCATCCCGCCACAAACACAAGCAGCAAAGACCGCCTTGTTAATTACTAACCAGCCCTTTTTCTGCTGTATTTGTAGATTTCTGAGGAGATTTCCAAGGGCACTTTGGTGATCACCAAAACTGATGAGGACATCCACACTACCATTGAACGCAGGCTCAAGGTTTGGTGCACCTGTTCAATCTACGTTCTGTGGCTTTTTTCTTCTAGGGACTGTAGATTCTAAGGGATTTTTGGCTATGTCCATTTCAGGAAGAAGCAAGCTTCCCCTTACCTCCTGTTTGTCCACCAAAAGAGATCCATACCCTAATTTTCAGTGTCTAATAGCCCTTTTGGGCTACAAACATGGTTAGATAACTATAGGACAGCAAGATCATAGAGGCCGAAAGCACAAGCAGGTCGAAAACAAACCAAGCTTTTAGATCCACAGAGCCCTACCTCCCCAAACAAGCAAACCTCACAGAACCATCCCCAAGCAAAAAATAAATCACCTCAAATTATGAAAATAAAAAAGGGATGGACATGGGGCCTAAGTGGGTGCCAAGGGGGCTGTCTGAGGAGACCATGGTGCCTGCAAGCACCACATCAAGGACCCCAGCTTTAAAGTAATAAACCATGGTTTGTTTACTGGTTGGGGAGACGACCATGGTTCATTCGGCAAACTATTGGTTCAGACAAACCATGGCTTAGCATTACATGCAAACGTAGCCAATGAATAACTGCTTTCAAGATCTACTTCCTCCAAAGCATTGGACTGACAGTGACAATGACTCCTTTTTTCCAGGAGCTGATTGGTGATGTGGCTGGGAAGCTTCACACTGGAAGAAGCAGAAACGATCAAGTAGGAAAACAAGAGTGGATGGCTTATTAGCAGTTTTAGCTATCCTACCTGTTTCTCTCTCTCTCTGCCCTGTTTCCTATGTAAATGTAGTAGCAGGTGGTATTGCGGGAGGGAGCGTTCTGAAAAAGCTACTCTGTTTTAAAATATAACGTCAAGTTTCTAGTCCTTGAAGCTTTCCAGATAAGTCACACTTCCAAAAAATCTCACAAGATGGTGGGGAAATGAGGAGGGATTCTTGTAGACACCCTGATTTAAGCCATTGCCCTTTGCCCCTTCCTGTGTCCAGCCGAAGTCAGATTGTGCAAGGTTTAGGGATTTTCTGATACAGAGGATAAACAGCCAGTAATCCCACATTTCTGAACTCGGGAGTTGCACCATCGTGCTCTGAATCTATTGGCATGAGATCAGCTTTCCGGCTCCTCTTCTGCAAACTCCACTGGGGTGGGGATGGTGGGCCCTTCCTCCTTGCTGAGGTTGTAACAACATAAATAAGAGAATTGGGTCAATGGCCCATTTAGTCAAGCATCAGAGGGAGCGGGTGGCGCTGTGGAGCCGCTGCATCCCCTTGATCATTAGGGTTGCCCTTTTCTGAACCTTTTCCAATATCCTTTTTGGGATGAGGCGACCAGAACAGCACACATTATAACTCAAATGTGCTTTGAGTTACCACTGTATCTCCATCTCAGCTGCCTTTGTTTTTCTCCCTAGCCCAACAGCTCTGGTACCCAACACTCTGAACCGAGTACAACGAGCTATTCATTCATAGCTACTGAGCTTTATGTCTCTTCTTCATTATTATTAAAAATATGTTCTTGGTCTTGGGGACCAGTTGCTTGTGTAAAATTCGGAGTCTGTTTGCTCTTTCAAGGTGGCCCCTTTCCATAGCTGATTCCTCCAAAGCCCTCTTTTCCTCCTCTAGCCCAGAGCTGTTGCAGTTGAGAGGCAAAGTGGCCTGGTGGTTAAGGAGCTTGTCAGCATCTCTGAAGGCCATGGGTTCAAGTCCTGCTTATTCTCACACTGGATGGCCGCCTCCAGTTCACTCAGCAATGAAGCGGTACCTGAACTGTGCCAAATATATCTTGTATCTTGATTCCTGCATTCTCCACAGCCAGATACTGGTCCTTCAGGCCTTGTAGGGAGCTAACTGGCCTCCAGCTGAGTGCCCCCCCATGCAATTTCATACATGGTTACTTGGAAGTAATTCCAACTAAGTTTAATAGGGCTTACTCCCAGGTAAGTGTGTATAGGACCAAGGCACCCAGGTTCTTATCAGGAGACGCTCAGTGGAAAAATCTGCTTTTGCAGACAAGTTTCCATGACTCACTAACTGCATTTTTAAAAATTAGTAATAGTAATACATTATTAAATGAGCAATTTTTAACCCACGGCAGAGGCAAAGGAGTTGGGGGATGGAAGCAGGGGCAGACCAGGGATGTGGTCTTACCCAATTGGCCACCGAGGTGCAGGAAAATGTTTGCCCAGAATGTCACTGAATGGGGGAAGAAATGTTCCCAAGCTGTAGGAAATAGAAATGTGTTTTAATGAATTCATTGTTGCATTATTATTAAAGTGTGTGAACATATGTGTGCAAGACAGGTAAGGGTCATAGTTTAGTGGGAGAGCAACACTTTGCTCCCAGATTGTTCGTTGGCAAACTGGAGAGCTGCTGCAAGTGAGTGGAGCTGGCATTGAGCTAGATGGACCAATGGGTTCCATAGAAGGCATCTTCCTATGGAACCAAATTCTGCTCTCCTCTAAGTCAAGCCCATGGGATCTAGCCCTGCACTCTGCTGCTGCTGTAGCAGCAGCAGTAGTAGTAGCAGCAGCAGCAGCAGCGAGAGCCATAGCTCAGTGACAGAGCACCTGCTTTGCACACAAGGTCCTGGGTTTGTTCTCCAATGGTATCTCTGGGTAGGGCTGGGAATGCTGGGAACCTGAAACTAGGAGGCCTTCACTCCTATCCTCCCCACCCTCCAACCCAGGAGGTGAGAACAACTTGTTTCTCAGAAGTAACAGCTGTGTTCCAATAATGCACCTCTTTGAGGCCAGGGTAAAGGATGTCCACTCCAAGCAATCGAATGCTATATAGATTCCGAAACGGTTTTCTTGGATGCCATCAGGACCTTCTGCAGGTTTCTTAGGTAGAAGGGCTTAGACAAAACACCCTCCATTGCTCTTCTTCCTTGCCACTGTTGTGGTTGGCATGCCCATCAGGAAAAGAGGCAAGTGAGCAAGCCAGGGTCCACAGGGCAGGGCTCTTTTTCAGTGTGAACCCCCCAATCTTAGCAACTGCCCAGCCACTATGACGTGCCTTTGGAACGGTATCCTTGACCGGCTAAACTGATCCCAAATGACCTTCTTCAGCATCCTCTGTGAAAGGGGCCAGATCAGCGTCTCCAGGTGGAATTGTTGGTCTTTCTTCCGTGAGGCCTGAGCAGTGAGATGCTTTGCGGCTTTTCTTCCAGGTGGTGACCGACCTGAGGTTGTTGATGAAGAGCTCTATCACAGTGCTTTCCGGCCACCTGCAGCAGCTCATCCGCACCCTGGTGGAGCGTGCTTCTGCGTAAGCTTCTCTTTATTTTCTCCCTGCCCCTCCACCACATTTTACTTATATATATATTATTGCATTTATTTCCCATCCTTTTCCTCCAAGGAACTCAAAGTGGTGTGCATAGTGCTTCCCCATTTAATTCCCGATAACAGCCCTGCAAGGTAGGCTAGGCTGAGAGAGGCAGTGCCTGGCCCAAGGTTGCCCAGTGAGTTTCATGGCTGAGTGGTGGATTCGAACCCTGGTCTGCCCTAGTCCAGCACTCTAACCACTAAACCACACTGTCCCCTCTTGGACTAGTCACTGGCTGCCAGTTCATTTCTGGGGACAACTTTAATGGCTGGTATTGGCTTTCTGAAGCCCTAAGCTGGAGGAGGGAATCTTTTCCTTTTCCCCAGTCTGAGGACTACATTCCCTGTTGGACAACCATCTGTGAGCCATGTGTCAGAAAAGGGCAAGGCCAGAGGCCAAGAATGGGTGGAGACAACACTGCAACTCTTTGTGCAGTAGGCAACAAACTTGGTCCAAAGTCAGTGAAATGTGATTTTGTAACTTGGTGGTCTCCTGTGTTTCTTTGCAGTGAAATTGAAGTGATCCTTCCTGGTTACACCCACCTGCAGAGGGCTCAGCCAATCAGATGGAGCCATCTCTTATTAAGGTAACGGATGCCTTCCCCACCTTCCGGAGTTCCTTCTAGTAAGTTGCCCCAATCCATCCTGCAGCAGCTTTCAACCTGGAAGGGAGAGGTAGTCTGAGCATGTGCAGAGTGCTAGGTCACCAAAATCTGCTTTCTATGATCCAGGAGGCTCCAGATCCAAGAAGTAAAATTCCTTGGCCCTGGCGGGCGGGAGGGCGGGCACCTCTTTTCAGAGATGTGGGTTTGCTTCCTCCTCTTCAAGTCTCTTCCTCTTGACTTCCAACAGCCACGCCGTGGCTTTGACCAGGGATTCCGAGCGTCTCTCGGAGGTGAAGAAGAGGATCGATGTCCTGCCTTTGGGAAGGTAAAAACTGAATCTCCTTCTGGTGTTAGTTACACCTGGGCCAGCTAAGACCAGTAGCTCATCATCACCTGTGAATCTTGAGGATGTCGCGTGTACACCTGTCTCCTTTGGATTTTAAGAATAATTGTAATGTAATGGACCAATATATCCTGTAACTGCTGACAGCAAATTGTTAGTATGTATAGGGAAAGGAGGGAAGTGTTTTCTCAATTCCATGGCTCCCACCCCATGTACAACCTCCCTGCAGTGTTGCAATGGATCTTGGCTGGGCAATGTGGGCCTCCCCTGCTAGTCGGCTTCAGCCCTTACTGCCCTTCCTCTGAACGGGAGGTTAGAAGAAGTTCCTGTTTGGGGAGGAGGGATTCTTTCTACCTCTTCTCTCCATTTATTTTTATTTTTATTTTTTTTATTGCAGTGGTGCTCTGGCTGGCAACCCTCTTGGCCTGGACCGTGAACTTATCCGTAAAGGTGAGTGGTGCATTTTTCCTTCCAAATGAAACAGAGCAAAACCATTCTTCCAGAAGGCGAGGGAGTTCATTTACAGACTGCCAAGAATAAAGGAGCCTAGATTTTAGGCTGAATTGGTCTGAGGTGTTTTCTCTTTTCCCCCTCTCACACAACAATACATTCACTTTCTCTTTCTCTCTCTTACCCCATTAATCTACTCTTCGCTTGTGGCAACATCCGCGTGCAAAGTGAATCAATCTGACTTTGTTACTCTTTTGCTCAAATTTCCTTGACGTGTCTCTTTTTGTCTGTCTTTTTTCATTCTAGAACTCGAGATGGCATCCATCAGCATCAACAGCATTGATGCCGTGAGCGACCGTGACTTTGCGGGTAAGTGTGCTGTTTTTGTGTCAGGGCAGAGTTCCAAATATTTGGAATCGGTTGCAGGTGGTAGGTTTGCAGAGGACTAGAACCTTGAAGGCTTTGCAATAAGAGTGAGCTAGTTAAAACAGGACAGCCTGATGGACTCTATTCTTGTTCCCTGTTTGAGGGCAACCAATGAGATTTCTTTTCCCCTCATTTTTTCCCCTCCAGTGGAGTTCCTTTCCACTTCTTCTCTGCTCATGATCCACCTGAGCAAATTAGCCGAAGACCTGATTCTCTTTGCCACAAAGGAGTTCGGATTCATCACTCTCTCCGATGCATTCTGGTAACGCTTTGGAATTTCTTAACCCTGTTCCGGGGATTCCTCCGGCAGTCTTGCCCAAACAGAGGTGGAAGGGCCACCTTTTCAGAGAATATTTAGCATTGCAGGGGTCCCTTGCAAATCTATGATTCTACGTCCAATGGCTTTTAAGCTAGGCATTTGGGGATCTCTGTTTTCCTTGCTCACTTAACAGGAATTTCTGAATGAGATGGCTGATAGGGGATTAAAAGACACCCCCTCTCAAAGATGACAGTTTCCTCCTCCACTACACTGGATATTCCTGGGGTCATGCTTGTAGTCCACATGGCACAATTAATGAACTGCAGCTTGTGGTCTGACTGTGCACTGTAAGGCACAAATGTATTGACATACTTAAAAGATTTGGGACTAGGGCACAAATTTGCATATGTGCAAATAAGCAAACATAGAACTTAAAGTCACAGGAGTGAAAAGAAAACTTAATCCCCCACCCAAATCGTCTCAGATAAATTCTTCCATTAATTTGCACTCCGCAGCGGTTTCCCTTCCATTCAATTTCCACATGGATCTTGCTCCAAATAATTTCAGTTCCCCTTATATTATCACCAATCATCTCAAGGTAATGCAAACTTTTAATTTGTTCCCCTTCCCAAATGAATATGCCAGGTAGTAACTCAGCTCAACCCAGCTTCAGTTCAATTTCCCCCAAATTCATTTTTATTTTACTCAAACACTGAGATCTGTGGCTCATAGCCTTGTGCCTACCACTGCCCCTAATGGGGCCTGTTCCAGAATCCTTTGCAATTTCAAGCAGAGCAAATATAGAGAAGTTGCTTTTCTCCCACCCACAGAGAGGCTGAAAAGTACTGCTGCGGCCTGAGAGGTTGAACCCAGATCTTGCTTTCCTCTAAGTGTGACATATTCTGTTTTGTTTTTTCAAAGCACCGGGAGCAGCCTGATGCCTCAGAAGAAGAATCCGGACAGCCTCGAACTGATCCGTAGCAAGACTGGCCGTGTGATCGGAAGGGTGAGTGCCCAGGCTTGGTTCAGGTTCAGTCAGTGACAAAGCCTCGAAAATATTAGTTGTGATTCCTGCATTGCAGTGGGTTGGACAATTGGACGAGATGACCATTGCAGGGGGTTGGACTAGATGACCATTGGGGGTATGTTGATAAAGGAATAAAATACAGGTGACCCTTGAGATCTTTCTTTTAAAATAAAAATACAGTGGATTTGTCTGGACCTGAATGTATTTGTGACACATACTTTATTCAGTGTTATTAAATGCCCTCTCCCATCTCATTCCTTCCTTGTTCTTTGCAGACTATTGGACTTCTTGTGGTACTGAAAGGACTCCCCAGTGCCTACAACAAAGACCTGCAGGTAAAAGGATGGGGGCGTTAATGGCTTCACCTAGGTCCCAGTTACAGACTGCCACCTTCTAGCGCAGCCAAGGTGGCCGTCCCTTCTGCAGGTGGGTTGCAGCTGGGGCTTGGATCGAGGGTAAGAAGCACAGAGGAACTTCTTGCCACAAGATGTGTGTAGCGCTCAAGTTGAGAGAAGGCTTGAGTCTGCTCTCTGGGTCAATGTGGACAAATTGCAGGGGACGGCCATCGCCTACAAGGCCTTGCTCATGAGCTTCCCGGGGGAAACTGACTCATTGATGTCAGACCCTCCAAGTGTCCCTATTTTCCAGGGACGTCCCTGATTTAGAGAAGCCGTCTGTTTCTGATTTGATCCCAGAATGTCCCGCTTTTCCTTAGGATATCCCTATTTTCATTGAAGAAATATTGGAGGGTATGTGATGTTTTGCAGGACCAGGTGGGCCTTCTCGTCTGGTCCAGCAGCACATTTCTCATATAAAAAGATAAAAGCATTTGTCTGTTTCCCCCCCTGCAAACAGGAAGATAAGGAGGCTGTGATCGATGTGATTGACACCCTGAGTGCCGTGCTTCAGGTCACCACTGGTGTGATCTCTACTCTCCAGGTAAGAATTATTATTTTTTAGGAAGGTTTGCCCTTACTTGCTGAGGAAGCACATAAGTGTTCCCATTCTCTCCCCCTCTCTTTCTAAGGCTGGTTCCAGATTGTTACAATTTTTCAAATTTGGTATACCACCAAATCCCAGGTTGCACAATTAAAGTGGATTTGATTATTTTAAATTGGCTATCCATTATCCCTGATGTTTTGCAATGGAGCATTCACTATTCTTGCCAAAGGTTTCTGCTGCTATTGGGTTTCTTTTCTTTTTTTCCTTTTTAATGAATTTCATGCATTTTTGTTATAAATGCATTTTGTGTAGTGTGTTTTTAAGCAATCAACAAGTTCAATGTGATAATAGGGGATTTGTAAGCAGAGACTTACGTAGAATGTGGATGTATGTTTTAATCTGTTTTTTGGTATTGTTTTTTTCTTTCTTATTTCCAATTGTATCTTTGGAATGTTTTAAAGAGCTGCTTTGACTGATAACTTGATTGTTTTGTTCTCTTCGTAAACCGCTCTGAGGTTGCTGCTTTTCACAATCAAGTGGTGTATACAATTTTAAAACAACAAAAGAAATAAATATTCTCTTCCAGATCAACAAGGAAACCATGGAGAAAGCCCTCAGCCCTGATATGCTGGCTACGGATCTTGCCAACCTCCTGGTTCGCAAGGGGGTGAGTGTCTAAAGCAGGGGTAGCCACCCCAATGGTGTCCCCTAGAAGCTGGGACCAACAGCCAGGAATGATGGGAGCCCCAAAACATCTGGAGGGGGCAGTGCACCATGTTGGTTACTCCCGATCCAAAGTGGTAGATTCCACTTGCATTTGTACTTCAGAGCTGTGATCCAGCAACTTCCCCAGCGGATCTGGGCCTGGGTGGGCACCACCACGCAGGACCACCAAACACTGTGATCTCCTGGAGAAACCGCTGCAAATTTCTGCTTGCACAGTAAATGTGGGCATCTTGTTTCCACTACATAATTCAACAGGGAACACCCACCCCGAGTTTCAGATAGCACAACTTTTTGATGCAAGATGGGCTGGTTTCCCAAGAGATGACCCCCCCCAACAGGTGTTTGGGTGCTCCTTGTCTGCGCGATACCCCTCAGACCAAATGGACCATTGACCTGATCCAGTAGACTCTGCTTGTGCTCTTAAGGTTATCCTAGGGTGGAAGCTGCCACAGCAACCTCCTACTCTTCGTAGATTCAGTCTGAAGATTGCAGGGATCAGCTAGGTCTACGTAAGGGAAAGCTCCTGACTGTGTGCTTTTGCGATTGCAGATGCCGTTCAGACAAGCCCACACTGCCGTCGGGAAAGCGGTCCACTTAGCTGAGACCAAAGGAGTGACTCTTAACCATCTATCCCCAGAGGACCTGAAGAGCATCACGTAAGTGTCGCCCTTTTTGCAAAACGTGAAAACCAAGTTCCGTGGAGTTGGAAGGGACCCCAGCGGTCATCTAGCCCAACCCTGTGCAATGCAGGAACCTCAACTGCATCATACATGACATAAGGGCATCCAACCTCTGCTGTTTCTAGCCCTTGTGGCTGCAGACCCAAGGCATCAGCATCTTATACTGCGTTAAAATCATTCCTTCCAAGAGTCTCTCTAAGGCAGAATGTTAGGTGGCCAAAGAGAGCCATCCCAGTTCAAGGATACTTCCAGCCAGTCAAAAAATATACTCTGGGGGCTTCGGAGGGGTATGGCTTTTGTTCAGAGATGTGTGGCCTGGGGAGGGCCCAGAGAACTGGACAGAGAAACCTGTTAGGGTTACATTTGGCCTCCTGGTTTGAGGTTCCCTCACCCCTGACACAGCTCTGCCCTGCATGACTGTCTCTTGGTCACTTGAAAGTGTGACCAACATATATTAGTTCTCTGGATATTGTTGAATACCCACTGACTGACCTCCGGCTGCATTTTCTTTCCCTCTAGCCCCATGCTGGGAGGCGACATCTCCCAGGTGTTCAACCAGCAGAGCAGCGTGGAGCAGTACACCTCCCCTGGCGGGACGGCCAAGAGCAGCGTGAGCACCCAGATCGAGCAATTGAAGGAGCTCCTGAAGAAGCAGAAGGATTAAGCTTTTGAGTGTGGGGGAAGGAAACTGTCCCTTTGCTGCGGGTTGTGCTTATCACGTTTAATCCCGAGTTAATAAACACAGTGGTGTATTGGATTTCACTGAGAAAACTTTGTTGCGTGGTTTTTCTCCCCTTCCCTTTCTCCTTCGTTACAACTCTTCCTGCATTGCGGGGGGTGGGACTAGATGACCCAAAGGTCCTCTTCCAACTCTACAATTGTGTGATTCTAATGAACAAGTTCTCCCACAAAGAAGGGCAGCCAGATCTTCCATCACACCCTCTTGGTGTGCCGGACTCCTAACTCCCAGCAGTCAGCATGCCAGGAGTTTGAGGGCTCTATCAGAAGGGTAGATTTGCGTATGGTGTACAATCTCTCTCACACACAAAACCACATTCAAGGTTTAATGAATAAAATAAACTCAGGTTAGCTCCTGTACAGTTTTCACTGAGGGTAGCTGCTGGCAGCCATTTTGTCCAGGGGTAAATCCTGAGGAGAATTTTGGAAAGCATCCACACCTGAGAATCTAGGGTTTGATAACAAACTGGAAAATCAGGTTGCTAGTCCTTATGGTTTGAAGCAGAGGGGTGGGAAATTTTGTGGGTGGCAGCGCACTGCAACTTAAATGAGTGTTTAAAACACTTTTTGTATTCACAAGTGAATGTGAGGGGAGAGGTTTGGCAGCCTACTGTGGTGTAAGGTGTTCTGAGGAAAATGTAGGCCTTCACATTCATTCCTAACAAAATTTCAGTTCAAGAGAAGGGGGGAAGATTATGGATATCCCCCATCTTCGGAAAGACTCCCACTAGTCCTGTTTTTAATTGTTCTCTCAGTGGTCTAGCTGTCAAAGTGCACTTGTGAATGAGGCCTGAACGGCTTCTTAGTACAGAAGCTTTATTATAACAGGGTCCTTGAACAAAAAATGAGGCTTCACAAAGGAAAATATAAGCAAGAGACGGAAAAGATGTCTCTGCCCCAAGCCACTTGCAATTTTAATATAACAGGATGGATGTCTGAGGAAAGCATTGCAGCAGAATTGGGTGGTACCACCACCCGGGGAATGATGGATTACAATAATAACACAAAAAAATTAACAAGAAAAATACTTTAAAAGCAGCTATTTAAAACCTTAAAGTAATGATTAAAATCAATGGTAAACTAAAAACCAGATTAAAACACATGTCAACATGCTACATATCTGGGTAGGCTTGCCTTAACAATGTTTTTTAGCAGTTGACAAAAAGAGTACAGTAAATGCTATTGTCTGGTGTTTAATAGGCAGGGAGTTCCGAAGTGTAGGTGCTGCCACAATAAAAGGTCAAAAAATAAATATCAAAAGCATAAAAATGTAAGGGCAGAGTGTCTTTAAGCACACACAAAGTATCTCTCTTCTTGAAAAGCACCACCTTTTCTCTTCTTTTATAAAAGCCAACACACACAAAGCAGGAAAATATAAAAAACGCATGACAGGCACAGACTTTGCCCTCACCTTGCAATCCATGCTGCTGATTCTGGTTTGGACCGTTTGCATAAATAACTAACAACTGCTTAACTCCGCAGTCTGCTGATCACTGAACTTGAGTGACAGTAGAAAAAAGAATCAGTAGGTTTATCGTGGAGTCAGCTTTCCATAGGGAGGCAAAGTTGCGTAGTGGTTAGAGAGTTGCATGAGAACCTGGAAGACCAGGGTTCAAATCCCAACTCAGCCACATGAAACTCACTGGGTGACCTTGGACTACTCACTGCTTCTCAGCCTTACCTACATCACAGGGTTGTTGGGGGGGGGCTGTGCTTCTTGGGAGAAAAGGGTGGGTTATACAATCAATAAATAAAACAAACCTGGTAATCTCTAATTGCTGCTGGGCTACAACTCCCATCATCTCCTAATTTTCGCTGGGGATGATGAGAGTTGGAGTCCAGCAACATAGGGAGGAAGGCCACAGATATTCCCTGACCCTACTTAGTTCCTCGAAATAAATATTTCAAGTCATTCAAATGCCTTTTTTTTAGTCTGTTTTACTCCCTCTGACATATCAAAACCTTAATACTAGCAAAGCCCTGGCAGTGCCCTCAAGCAAGATGGCTGCCTCTGCCTCCCCATGGTGGGAAGTGGGCGTCTCCTGAGCATACAGACTCGGATTGGCTCCCGACAAGTCAGCTGGGCTGGAGATCAGCCGACTGCCTCTCCAGCCTCAGCAGTGAGCGGGTCAGGCTGTCTGGCAGCATGAAGGTGCTGCTTATCTGCGCCTTGTGCCTGGTCCTGGGGTGCTGCCAGCAGGGGGGCGCCCTGGATGGAGGGATGCTGTACCCCCGGGAATCTCCCTCCAGGGAGCTGAAGGAGCTGGGAGGCCTCTGGAGCTTCAGGGCAGACTGGTCAGAGCGCAGGGACGCGGGGTTTGTGGAAGGCTGGTACAAGAAGCCTCTCTCCCAGGTGAGTGAGCGGAGAAGGCGGGCACCATCACGGTGAGGCGGGATTTTTTTTTGAAAGCTGCTGAGATAAATTTTGTGAAATAAATAAATTGTTAAGTAAGTTACAATAAGCTGAAATACCAAACTGAAACGTGTGTCGCTATTCTACATGCTTCGGTAGGTTTTGCCGAAACAAAAAAGGCGCCAAATAGAGTATAGTGAATTATGGGTTTAGTTTTTGAGTTCTTGTTTGATAGCAACATCCGAGCACCCCTAATGGATCAAGCAAAAGCCCTGCTAATCTAAATAACCAACACAGAGGCTGCCATGGGTGTAGCCGGGGGGGGGGCAGGGAGGAGCAGCTGCCCGCCTAAATAAATAAAAATCAATAAAAATACATAGCAAACTGAGGTTCTGCCCCCCCCAACAAAAATCCTGGATACACCCATGGTTCTGGCTGCCTAGATGCTTTGAGGGAGCCAACAAGTGGGGGGGTGTTGGGGGGAGTGCAATGTCCAGTCCCTGTGGTCCCCCCAAACATCTGGTACACTGCCACTGAATGTGGAGGTTTGACTTAGCTTTATGGGCACACAGCCACTGGGTAGATGTGGGCTTTCTGTATTTGTGAACAGTGCACTGGGATCTTTGGAACAGTTTCATTGGAAAGATAGAAGCTGAGAAAGCAAGGAGTTGACATTGATTGCCCTTCAGCTCCAACGGAAAGGAGAAGTTTAGAATATCAGGAAGTGGCTCAGCATTTCTATGCGCAAGTGAGGAAATGAACTGTTACGTGCAAAGCTGGTGAAATAATTGTTTCCCCAAAGAGCAGGAGGTAGGCACGTGCGTCTGTGAATCAGGAAACAGAAAGGGTGTTATTTAATGCATTGTTTTATTTCACTGTTCAGCTGAAAAAGACTTCCAAGAGCACTTTGCAAATATCAATATTAAGATAGTCTGTGCCTTTGAGTTTTCCAAACTCAAGTATGCAACACTAAAGGAAAGGGCAATAGGAGGGAGGAGGGGGAAAACAAACTCAGGCACAGTTGATTGAATAACCACCTGGAATGGAAAGGTTTTGGAACAGCAGAATCTGCATGATCATTAGTAACTTGCTAACAGCCGTTTAAAAGTCATACTGTGTGCTTCAGAAAAGGTGGGTAAAATCAAAGATTGGGTTTGTAGTTCTCCACTGTTTACACCAGGGGTCTGCAACCCGCGGCTCCGGAGCCGCATGTGGCTCTTTTACACCTTTGCCGCGGCTCTGGGGCGGATACTAGCGAGGGGAGGAGGCGCATTGTGCGCCCCGACACTCCCCACTGTGGCGGGCGCTGTACTGGCTGTGACGTCGCATGGGGGCGGTGCGTGCGTTACGATCCTGTATATATAGCATTAAGGTAAGAAACAATATATGCAGTGTTATATTTGTTTTAAATGTCACAATGGTTTTGCGGCTCCCAGTTTTTTTTTCTTTGAAAACGGGTCCAAGTGGCTCTTTTTGTCTTAAAGGTTGCAGACCCCTGGTTTACACGTTAGACTTTAGGCCAAAGAAAATAGAAATGTTTGTGCAAGTGAGCTCTTTGCAGCTTCAATGAATGGAAAACAGCGCCTGTACATTAGTGCCCTCTACTGGCTTCTGGGTGTGATTGCCACATTTAATCTTCCAAACTGATCCTGTACTTTAAATGGAATAGCCTGAGGCCAAGACATGATTTAGCAGGTCATAGAATCACAGAACTGTAGAGTTGGAAGGGACCCCAAAGATCATTCTAGTAATCTACTCCAACTCCCTGCAATGCAGGAATGTGCAGCTGTCCCATATGGGGATTGAACTTGCAACCTTAGCATTACCATGCTCTCACCAACTGAGCTATCCAGAAAAAAATCATAACTTGCTAAGTTGCTCCGCATCAGGCAGATTTCTGAAAGCAGAAGAGCAGAAAAAATATGTTGGCAACCTAGATAAAAGTTTGCTGGAGTTTGCTTGTTTGTCAGAATGTACAAACTGCTCTAGTTTTGGAGAATATACGAGTGGTATGTAGAAATGAAACACAAAATGGAATACAGGTCATAAAACCATAATAAAACCCAGAAGAATCATTCCCCTGGTATAGCACTGCATGCCCCAGCCGTAAAACCCTGAATCTTGTCCGTAGCAAATTGGCAGCCAGTGCAACCTTTCCGACATGTTTTCAGTGGGTGAACCCAGAGCTGCTGTGTCTGGACCAAATTCCAGGCCTGCATGGGAGAACATATCTGCCCTGTATGCCCAGCATACCTTCCTCGTCCCTTTCAGTCTGGGCCAGTGATTGACATGCCAGTCCCCGCCAGCTTCAACGAGATCACGCAAGATCCAAAGCTGCGCCAGTACATCGGCTGGGTTTGGTACGAGAAGGAGGTGTTCCCGCCAGCCCGCTGGCTCCTGAGAGATCCTGGGACACGAGTGGTGCTCCGGGTTGGCAGTGCAAACTACTACTCGATCGTGGTGAGTATGGGGCTCCCTGGCAGTGCAGCTCCCCATGGAAGCCTGCCTGGTTTCTGGAACCATTGCATTTTTTATTTTCTGCATTTCTGTCCTGCACTCTTCTCCAATAACCCAAGATGGTATGTATGGTTCTCTCTCTTCCTCGTTTAATTCCCAAAACCAACTCTGCGAGGTAGGATAGGCTGAGAGAAGAGAGGAGGAGTTTGGATTTGATATCCCG